ATGGGATGTGATTGACGAATTTATATATCAATTCGAGTCGTTTTGCCGGTACCGTAACCGCGTCGCTCGCACTGGGTCAAATGAGGAAGAGGCACAGCTTTTGAAGGAGAACCCGAACACATGGGGCTGCTATTCAGTCCTCAATGTCCTATATTCGCTGATCCAAAGGTCCCAAATCAACGAACAGCTTGCAGCAATCAAGCGCAACGAAGACCCCGCAGCCGTTGCAGGAGAATACGGAAACCGGCCTCTCTACCGAATGCTGGGGTATTTTTCTATCATCGGTCTACTCCGCGTCCACTGCTTGCTTGGCGACTTCAGTCTCGCCCTCAAAACTCTCGATGATATCGAGATGAACAAAAAGGCCATGTTTGCCCGCGTTATGGCCGCCCACTTCACGACGTACTACTACGTAGGCTTCTCCTACATGATGATGCGCCGCTACGCCGACGCCATTCGCATGTTCAGTCACATCCTCGTCTATGTATCCCGCACCAAGAACTTCCAGAAGGGCAGCAACAGCTACGATGCCATCGCCAAGAAGAACGACCAGATGTACGCCCTAATTGCCATCTGCGTCGCATTCCACCCTACCCGTCTTGATGACACCATCCACTCCGCTCTCCGCGAGAAATACGGCGAGCAATTCAACCGCCTCCAGCACGGCGGACCCGAAGCCCTCCCGCTCTTCGAAGAGCTTTTCCGCTCAGCCTGCCCCAAATTCATCAGCCCAACCCCACCAGACTTCGAAAACCCAGCCATGAACGTCGACCCCGTTGACCACCAAACGGCCATCTTCATGGACGAGGTCCGCAACACCCTATACAACCCCACCGTCAAGTCTTACCTCAAGCTCTACACGACGATGGATCTGCAGAAGCTTGCGGGCTTTTTGGACGTGGAGCCGCAGCAGCTGCGCTCATGGCTACTTGTCAATAAGCAGCGCAGCCGACAGATCCGATGGTCGGATGGCGGGCTGTTGGAAGGGGAGGTTGCGAATGCAAATGACCTGGATTATGCTATTGAGGGCGATCTGATTCATATTAGTGAGGCGAAGGCAGGGAGGAGATTGGTGGATTGGTACTTGCGAAATCTGGCAAGGACATATTAAGGAGATTGGCAGTCGTTAGGCAATTCGGGGTATTTTTTATGAAATGATTTTTTTTTTTTTTCCTTTCTTCCCTGGGAAGAGGTTGATTCGGAAAAAAACATGGTTTCTCTCGTCCTGCGCTGTGGATGGGATAACTACGATTTATGCACTGGACGGTCATCTTGTTCCATTTCTGCTCCTTTTGTTTAAGATATCTAATTTTTTAACTTCACCTGGTTGATACGACGTATTGATGGGAAAAGTGACAAGGAAAAGTGGATGCATAGATAGCGGTTGGCATACGTTGACATCTTTGCTTTTTTTTCTCTTGCCAACTCTATTTAAATTTCTCTACCTGAATGGAACGAACTGGGAGCTCCCCGAAAGAAGGAAAGGGGATGGCGAGTGCAATTGAAGGTGGTTATATTTCGTTTTTTTTTTTTTTTTTTTTTTTTTTTTTTTTTTTTTTTTCGTATTGATTTGCTTGACCTCCTTGCTTTCTGCTGTTTGTTCTCTGGGATACAGAAAAATAGGTAAAACATGATTTCTAGTGTGATGTTGTTTTTCTTGTGTCCTATCCATTTACCCATTCCTTGTGCTGTTTCGTCTTCTTTCCCCTGAAGCTTATCATCAAGAACAACTTAACGAATTCTTTTGCCCCATTGTTCATCAACCCTTCCTCTATTTTCCTGCATTGATCCATCTGTGGAGAGTAGTATACAAGAATCAACGATTACAGCACCAGCAGAGCATACTGTTCGATCTCATGGGACTGCTGTTTGACCTACAGATGCTCATTTGAGACAGCAATATTATCTGCTTGTTATATCCCTAACTGAGGTGAATTACCTGCAGATGGAAAAAGATATCATGCGTGTTTTAGGTCTCTTTTGCTTTCCTCATCCACCAGAACTTCTCCACATATAGATAATCTTGCCAAGGATTAGAGTGATTGAATTTGCACTCCATCCATACATACGCTTTCATGCAATATCAAAAATTACTTTGACTGGTTGCAGCAGCCCTACCAAACAAGAGACACAACTAGCTTTGCCTAGCTCTTCGAGCGTTATTTATTTGACGGCTGCTTCTATTTTTACGATTGTTACATAAGTTAACAGCCCCACGGAACGCGAAAATGTTTCCTCTCCTCAAGTCTTGGGGACGACTATGTTTCAGTGCTGGTACACCTTGGGATCAACGAGTCAAGTGCCAACACCATACTCCTGTTACACTCCTCTATGTCATGGCGTAAGTCCACTATAGATCCGTACCGTTTCTTATTCTCCGAGGGAGCTTTATTGGTGTCAAACGGATGTGGAAGGGCGTGATCGCTCCGTTATGTATATTTTCCGTTCTCAATGTGACGAGACTATACGGATTACACGGAACCTCCGTATTGTCCTGCATTGGAGGTTGCAACATGATTATGCCGAATTCCAGCCCGAGCCACTATCAACCTACAAGTGGACAGACTTACCTTCTTCAAAAAATATAATTACCGGACATCGACTCCTCTCGAAAGCAAAAGTACGACTTGATCGGGTTCTTCCCAAAGCCCGTAGTTGCGAGATCTTGTAATCTGTACTCACACTCTTGATAACGCCGTTAGTGGCGGCGGTAACGCGGGTGGTTCCGAAGTGAGTTTTCCGAATAGAAAGCTAAAATTAGCCTCCGGACTTTTTCTGATGACAGGTGAGAACAATATAGACAAGTTTGTCCTCGCAGCTTGGAGCATGAGAGCGATGAGAGGTATTCGATATATGCGGTGATAAGAAGCCTATTCCCACTAAAAGAGGATATAAATTAAAACAGCAGCTCACATATTCGACACTGATCGTCGACAGTTTGCTAGGAGACATATGAAAATTAGATAATATAAATACAAAACCAGGGAGGCCGAGAAGGCAAGGTGCCTCGGGACCGAATAAGTGGGAAAGAATGGGGAGGGAAGAGGAAGTCGAGGGTGGATATTTATCAGCTCTCGATATGTGCACTTGTAACACCGCCGTCCCTAAGCATGAAAAAAATGAATAGGGGACGGTGAGGTCAAATGGGTGATGACACCTAGGTTCTATTCCCCGCGATATGACCCCTGGATAGAAAATAACTCAAGCAGTGCAGCTAGCTGCTGAGCGAAATTGAATATAAGAGAAGAAATTCATGTAACGGTCAGCGTGAGTGAAATGACCCACGCGAATGACAGATAAATTTTGGCACTATGCATGATTTGGCGAATCGAAACAAAACGCGGCCCAAAGTAGTTATCTATTGCATATCCATTGGAATGTAAGTCACAAAAAAATATCACCGCCAATAATAATAATGGCGAAACGCCTTTTTATAGTTGGTATTTTCTACCGATGCTAAAGAAACAAAGGAGTGGAGAGAAACCGTGCAAGATGTACAAAACGGACTCCGACACTCTTCGAAGGGCAGAGATATATGAAATGATGGGTCCGGAGGGCTACGATGGAACGTCGAAACTTGTTCCACAGCCACAGCTACTAGTAGCCCTGGGGTTGTTGGTAATTTTAAATTGGCTTCCTATGAGCTCCATTGTATAGTCAACCGTGCTGCCGCTCAGAAGTTCCAAAGATGCCGAATCCATAACAACTTTCGCTCTGCCACTGGGGGTCTTTCCATCCGATAACGATTCTCCCGAGTCCTCTGGCTCGGCTTCAAAAATTGTATCTTCCTCCGGGTCGATATTAGATTCTGGATCGAGGGTCATCAGGTACTGAAAACCATGGCATCCCCCACTAGATACAGTGACACGGAGATGATCTTGTACAACTCCTTCCGGGATCACTGGTAGAGTAGGTTTCTTTGACGACGGATCCGTTATTTCTCGTAGGCGCTGATAGATAAAAAAGAAATTAGCAACAATACAGAAAAAGAAATGCCCATCAGATCGCAGTAACAGCTGGCAGAGAAGAGAAGGGGTTGTTTTAAAAAAAAAAAAAAAACTGGCAAAAACATACAACAGCCGGGATTCGCTGGTGGTCACCCACCCAACTACTAACCGGCCGGCGAGCGGCTTAAGTATGGCTGAGCGGACGGGAAGCCCTGTTTTCCACTCCCTATGGTCGTATGTGCTTGTTTGTTGCTTGCCAGCTACTTTATAGAGGAATCTATCGCCGGATATGGTCAAAAATGAAAAATGAAAAAAAATTCCGTACCTTCGCTGCACGCGGAGAAATATCAATTGTCAGAGGTTTTCCCTCCTCATCAGTTCGCGGATTCGATACTACCCTCGTTCCCTGTTTCGGTTGTGTCGTCGAGAATGCAGAGAGCTGCCTCGCGGTTCTTCGAAATGCTTGGCTACAACGAGTATTTGGGCGAAATGCGTACGGGTGCAGAAACGGAAGGTATGGCAGGATTGAATATGTCGTCGCCTGGTGTTGAGAAGAAACGGAGTTCGTGGCGATAGAGAGCGCACGGTGGTATTGGCGGACGAAGCTTGCGGAAGGCGATACTTGGCCGCGCGCCAGTCGACAGCATGTGAACGCAAGAATCTGCTGGTTCATGGCTGCCACGGATATGGTGAATAGTCAAGCCACGTAGAATATCCCATTAAAAATGTCCGTTAGAGTAGACATAGGAAATACTTATGTCTAAGGGAGTAAATTGTTTTTATTCTCCCGAACACCGAAGGTTGGATTACTAATGACGGCAAAATACCGCAATGCTACGATTTCCCTGTTCCCTATTGGCTGCAGAGTCACACCGCTTTTCCTCACCCTTACATTAGTCATATCAAAAGCACGACTCGCCCTAAACAGAGGGACGATTGACAGAACCCTTCAGTTCGTCAATGAGGAATAAGAACAATCGCTAACTCCATTGACATTTGGCAGATGCATGTTTTGTGTTTTGTATTTTTCTTTTTCTTTCTTTTTTTTTTTGGTGGGGGTTTGAAAAGCAAATCCTTGCAGAACGCCACAAAAAAAAAAAAAAAAAAAAAAAAAGCATTAGCTAGAACAACCCGCGACTCGGGCTCTCAAATTGCGGCCGCTAAACGGTCCATCCGGACCAAAACTACTCCTCCGACTCGGGAAACCGCCTCAGCATATCCTCAAGTTTATCGAGAGGAGCCTCCAAAAAGCTCACCACAGACTCAAACGTCGTATTTTTGGGAGCATGCGGATGCGCACGAGTTGGCACGAACATTTTGGTCCGCTCGAATTTTTTGGCCAAAGATCTCGACTCGTCTGGCTGGATGACAGACTCCAAAGAAGCTAGGTCCTCATCCTCTTCTTCTTCAATATGTTTATTCAGACGTTCCATGATGCTATCCAGCGTCGGGCGGAACTCCGAATCTTGAGCGGACATTCTCTGGAACTTGTACAGCTGTTCCTTGATCTATTCCGTGTATGGTTGTTGACAAGTTTACAAAAAATTAGCCACTCAAACACCAAACCTTTTATTTTTATTTTTATTTTTTTATTTTTATTTTTTCTTGAAAGAGGGACTGAATTTCTTGGGAAGGTTGAAGGAGATACAAAAGACAGGACGGACCTCTTGGTTTTCTCGGCGATCTTTGTCTGCCATGACCTTCCCATGGTCGATATAGCTTTCCAAAGCCGGGTAGACAACAAGCTCTTCCGCTACGGTATAACGAGCGAGTTCCCACGTAAACTGTCACCGTAAAAGAACCGGAATTAGAAATGTCTGCCAGTCATGTATCGTCAGCAGAACCTACCTTGTTTCCCCAACGGGTGCCCGTGTCTTCGTCTCCCGCTTGGATGATCTTGTCATGATATTCCCGGAGCAACCGGTGGTCCTCCTTGATGGTGTCCGAAATCCTAACCATTTTGAACCGAGTGATGCGTAAAATTAACTAAATATATGCAATTTGCGAATAGGCACCCCAGAGGTATGCAAATCAATGGATTCTGACAGCTGTTGCAAAAATAATAATTCCCCTAGATTAGCAGAAATCGATACTAATAGGGTGTGGTAGGCGAAATCGTGGCAAAGTGGCGAAGATATCTGGGGTGTCGTCATTATGATGTGAGTCCCTGTTGGCGTGCCGTTTAATATTTAAGCTTCAATTGGATTCCCAAATCTAACCTAATGAGCGGTACCCCTTTTGTATAGCTGACAGCTTATGTATGTATGTACAAGTGTGTGAAGAAACAAAAGTAATGGTAAAATGGCAGCCCAGGAAAAGGGGGGATATGTGAGTATAAAAAGGAGAGTAAAGCATTATCGAACTAAGCCAAGGCTTGAAGGAATCCACGACAAAAACAACCAGGCAGGAACCACAGAAATGGAGATAGACCATAGAATCCGCTTCAAGGTTGAATCGCTGCTAAGCACCCCAATGTATGAAATATCTGTCTTATTGAGGCGCAATGTTAAATTCTGTTGTTACATAATAAAACTTGGCATCTCCTTAGTTAACTAGGTAACGAAGTTATTAACTATTAACGTGATGCAAATCGCGACCATCTCAACGCCAAAATTATTACTCCATTCACGTATAAAAGAATTGGTATAATTATGGTGTATACATCATCAAAGCACAAATCTATAATCAGGCCCATAGTTCTCCTCCGCAACGACTAACTGGCCGGTCTCCTCCAGCTGTTGGGCCCTTTCAGCAAGCGTTCCATATCTCCTATCAAGCTCTCGGTTCTTCTTCGCTAGCAGTGTGCTCAACAACAGCGCCAGAAAGCAATTGAAGCCCATAAAGGCTGCGCAAATGACCTGGCCCCGCACATACGACGGCCCGTCAGAGGCAGGGAATATGTTACTCCCCAGAAGTGGACCACATTGGCCTATAAGGTTCATGATGATGATCCCCATCCCACGCCGAGTGTCGGAGCCCTGGTTGTCTTTCACATTGAAAAGAATTCCGATGTTAGCATCTGCGGGTCACGCCGTCTATGAGGAGAGGAGAATGGCATACTAAGAACCCAGGGTAGGATATTCGCGATGCACGGAAAGACACCACTGGCGGCCATCCACACGCCGATATATCTCGAAGAAACAGCTGAACACGTAGCAAGCAATATATACCCGGTACACCCCACAATTGACAAGAATGCAATCATCAAGCCTCTTTGCTGGTAGCGATCCGCGATCCATGGAGTGAAAACACTGGTCAGGAAGGAGAGGAAATAAGGAGGCGCGGACAATCCCTGAGCGTTGATCGACGTGTATCCCATGTCTCTCAGGATTGATGGTAGAAACACAGGGAGAGACGAATAGCTGACATTGCAGCTGAAATACATGAGCTGCATTCCGAAGTTAGCACAGGGAACGTGAGGCACCATTTTTAGAGAGAAAGTTTACATACAGCTACCAGCCACGATTTGACATCCAAAAGTGTCTCCCCGATATCCTTCCAGCTCACTCCGCCGATACGATCGACTGCACCGACTTGCCTCAGTGCTCTAGCTCTAGCAACGGCTTTCTCCTCTTCATTTAAGAATTTAGCCTTGGCTGGCGAATCAGGAAGAAAACGGAGGACAACAGGCACCATTAATATGGTTGGTATCCCCTCAACAAGGAACAAGAGCCTCCAGCTGGCGAGCTTTGTATGGGACGACGTAATCCCATATGCCAATGCCCCGGCGAAGGTACTTGCAAGTGGAGCAGCAGAGACGAACAAGCCACAGCGCAGCCCTAACTCATGACGTCGGTAGAAGCAGGAGAGAAGAAACGGAATGCCCGGGCCAAAGCCTGCCTCTGTGACGCCCAGCAGAAACCTAAGCCCCATTTCTGCCTTCCATGAGAAAACTGCCGCCTGGCAAGTCGCAATGATGCCCCTATGATCACCGACGAATGTCACCAAAAAAGCACCGTTAAAATGATCAGGGACATTTGAAAGACAAACCATCCTAACACAGTAAATGCAGCCCACTTGTGCGGAGGAACGATCTTCCACATTAACCCCTGGAACTGGAAAGCCAGGTACGAGATATAGAAGATGGTCAGAAGCCATTCGTAGCGGTTGCCATCCAGTTGCAAGTCCTCTTCCATTCCTGCGAGGCGTGCATTGCCGATATTGGATCGATCCAAAAAACTCAGTAGATCTTAATATGATTCAGGCTCCTTTAGTAAATCCCCAACAGATTATTATTATTATTATTATTATTATTGTTTTTTTTTTTTTTTTTTTTTCATTTTCGAATATGGGATGGGGTTATTTCTCCCTTACACAGAAACCCAAGAAGGGTTGGTACCCTCTGGTCAAGCTTTCTCACCACCCGCCTCTCAATGACCGGGTCAATCTGGCCATATGCGCTAGGCCCCGCATCCTCTCTGTGTGGTTTGGTGCTCGTTATTTCTGGATCTGGATCCAGAGCATCAGCGATACCACGCCGGGGTGCGAGAAGAGGTTGAGTGTTCATCACAAAATAATCCTGGCAAGATCCTCCTCCCCGACAACAGATGCAGGTATCGGAAAAAGAATTCCCAAGCAAGGGAGGCCGCGATCTGGCTTTCAATAAATATCTGCTGGAAAACTAGTCAGGTGGGTCTGTCTGATAAGCAGCAGATCGTTGCATTGTTCACGCGATCGACCAAGATATGCAATCCTCCGCTCGCTATTGGGCCCTGCATATGTAGTAGTGAGGTTGATAAGATCCTGGCACTGGCTATTTGCTACTTGAGCACATTGGCAAATGAAGCCACCAAATGCTCAACCTCCTGGACCAGCGTGAGCACGAGCTTTCCACGGTCAATGTCGTCCAACATTCCCGTGGATTCGCGATAGGTAGTTCAACTGGTAGGACTGAGAACGTTGAATTGCCGTGGAGTGACTAAATTAGCGAAACCGTTATGCGCGGATACAGGCTTGAGCTGAGCAGCCCCGGACAAATCGGGGAGGAGATTGAAGCAAATAGTTCAAACTTCCACAACTCGTAGAAAGGAAACCATTCCACATGTGAATATCTTTCCGGTTGCTTGATACAACCAGGTGGAAAACCTGTTGTAGAGGTGCTGTTTGGCCGTGGGTGTTGAGTTTGTACAGTACCCTACCAGATAGAAGTCTAATTATATTTCCGTTTAGTTGTCCCTTGTCCGTTCGAATCTTATTTAGCACTGGCAGGACTTCTGACCACCATCCCATTACAAACGGAAGGAGTCTATTACCATGCACCGAACAGTCCGTTTGCACAAGAAGGCCTCCGAACTTATCGGTTTTGAAACTCGGCGATGTGGGAGTTCTACCCCATAATTCAGATTTACCAGCCGCACTCCTCGTTGTATTGCTTACAATTCTTTATCCCTCATAACTACATATGTTCCTTCGCCTGTATGCAAGCAAGGTTCATCGTACCCACCCGAGCTGAGTTCGCTGTGCTATGTACGGGTCATCTTTGAGGAAAAACATCCCGGCGCACCGATCAAGAAAAGGCAGCACCCAGGCAGCCTCCAAATTTCTCCATTGGACCAGGAATGTCACAAAATACCTCAGTGATTGTGACTGGATACCAGTATCGACGAGAGATGCCTGAGAATCAATGATGAGAGCGCTGTTGAATACTGTCAGGTATACCTCATCCGCGATTCTCAGGCATACAACCAGGGTCCAGCGCAGAGATAAGCTTCGAACGATGGATCTTAGTCCCCAGTAATCCGTACTTCGTTGCGTAGTTGCAGGAGCGGGTTACAGTTACAGGCGGGCATGGTTAGAGCAAATAACACACACATAACAGCTCAAAACACTAAATGCTCAACATACTTAGATCCGAAAGATATCGCAATATGGAGCATAAGACTATAATAGCTCTTCTCTTTCTGTTTTGGATATATATGTGATAAGAATGCTCACAGTGGAAGTTCTATGTTTAGCAACCATGCATGTACGCCATCGTTTCTATGACGTTTATCGGAAATTTCTTGCCAGCCCTCCTAGTGTGCACTTCCTCCCCACCTCCCCGGTGCATTCCCCGGCGCATATACTCCGTAGTTCGTCGTTCATCTCAGCCAACCATCTGGGGAGGTGTGTGAGACGGGGAAAATGGACGCCGAGAACTACAAAAGCAAGTGATCTATAAAGGATGGTGACGCCACCCTCAGGATTGAGTAGTTCGCATATCATCTCAACCAACTAGTTATATAGATCTTCACGAGAACCTCCACACATATAGAACCATTTAGTCTCACGATATCTCACCATCTCGCCAACCCATTTAATCAACTGAATCATGTCCTCTGCCCTTGTGGAAATAGACGCTCTTGAAGCCCTCGTCATCGTCGACAATGATCTTGACCTCATGTCCCCGCCTGCTCCGGGCCCTGTCAAGGTCTCTCGGCTCCTGGGTGAAATCGGCCTGACCTCTCCCCACCACGTGCATGATAGGGCGGAGGCGACGAAGGAGTTTCGCCTCGAGGATGTGTGCTGTTCTGCACACGGATTGTCTGTTCTGCTTGTAAGCTACTAACCGCATCGTTCACCGCCCACCGTCCCACCGCCCGGGGTTTTCATGCGTGCGTAACAAGGTGGGTTTCTATGGCGGTTCTAAACTAGCTGGTTTCTAATGCCACATCTGTTTGAATTGCCTGTCTAGACTGCCGTAAAAGGGAATGAGCGTCGGACGCTGCTTTTTGATACAGGCCCTACGGAAAAGTCCTGGGAGATGAACGCGGAACGATTAAAACTAGATTTGTCTTCCGTGGAATGCATCCAGCTTTCTCATTGGCATCGGGATCACTCGGGTGGGTGCCTTTTCGTCTTTTTATTTATTTTATTTTTTTTCAAGGTTGCCTAGGAACTAAATTGCCCAACACGCAGGCGGCATGCTCAAGGCCATCCAGATGATCAAGGAAGCAAAGACCAAGAAAGGATCATCAAGCGATGATCTTGTTGTAGACCTGCATCCATCCCGGCCAGATTATCGAGGTATCCGCCTGCCCAGCGAAATCGTGTCGTTGGAAGCCGATCCAACCTTCGAGGAAATAGAACAGGCCGGCGCGAAAGTAGAGAAGCACAGTGAAGCTCATACCGTTTTGGACAACATGTTCCTTATCTCGGGGGAAATCCCGCGCGAGACGGAATATGAGACAGGGTTGAAATTTGGAGTTCGGTTCCACAAAGACAGCGGGAAGTGGGAGAGCGATGAGCTGATTAATGACGAGCGGTTTCTCGCATGTAATATCAAAGGTCTGCTATCCTTTTCCACGGGTATCGGTTGTGGTAGTTGTGCTTTGCCTTGGAATCTCCTCGCGGCTGCTAACCTGACGATATCTGCAGGGAAAGGAATCGTGGTATTTAGCGGGTGTAGCCACGCTGGCATTGTAAACGCAACAAGACATGCCGTTGACTTGGCTGGCAAGGGCAACCCGGTATACGCCGTTTTTGGAGGTTACCATTTGTCGATGAGCGAAAAGGCTCACTTGGATGCCACTGTGCAAGATCTCAAGTTGTTAGATCCCAAGGTGTTATTGCCCGGCCATTGTTCTGGGTGGAGAGTCAAATTTGAGATTGAAAAAGAAATGCCAGGCCGCTTGGTGCCATCATCTGTTGGCTTCAGACTGGCGTTTTAGGCCGTATAGATTTGCCAGAGGTTGTGTGGTTTCTATTTAAATTCCATAAGACATCTTATCTACGGAATCATACATACTGTAGCCCCCATTGCATGTACAGTTTTTTTGACTGGTGGTTCCAGTGCCAAATTTAAGCCACTTACTTGGAGTAGTTAGATAGAATCTTGACCCCAAATGTGCACTGTTCATGTTGCTGAGACAGCCTCACCACCCCAAGATAAGGCTACCCCGAAGGGTTTCGGGTTAGAATTACGCTATCAGAGTTAGTTAGCTGTGTGGAGAGAGGTATCCCTCTCTGCTCACTATAAAGCCTTCCAGGCACGGCAGCGGCGGTCCCCTCAGGGAACCACACTATAGCCCCACCATGAATGGCCATACGTCGGGCCAGAAGTGGATGCGCAGCTCGGAAAAAATCCTTTGCAATGAGCTGAGTCTTCTCAAGAGTTGCCACCTGGATTCTGTTTTCTCTCTCTCTCTGTGTACATAGAAATCTCTCCAGCGTAGCACGTCTCCATGCCCTTCGGGAGGCTTCTGAAACACGGGCGCTGCCCGTGTTTTCTCCGGGACGTTAAACCTATACATACATACATACATACATAGCTGTGTGGAAACGGCCCAAGAAATGTGGATGAGATTGATCCCATGGAACTCAGGCCGAAAATTCACGCTTAAAGTCGGCAACGGATCACCGACCTCATCTAACACGCAATCTGTATATATAACAGAGACAGCATCTCGAAGGTCCTAGCACGGTGATTCAATTAATGTTTAGTGAACGAACGACTTAGGCTCAGGAACCGCAAATCCCCAAACGCCAAAACGGCTGCTTCAGGATACGATGCTGACCCTGCAAAGCTCCCCCGCCTTTCCATGGGAGGAAGATATGAACGCGGAGAAGAGGGAATTCGCAGAGTCGCTGGACACAAAGGACTCTCTTGCGCATTTTCGAGAGCAATTCATCATCCCAACGACGCAAGATTTGACTAGAAAAACGATCATCCCCAGTGCGAATGGTAACCAGCTCCCAAAACTCCCAGCGGCTCCCCAGCAAGCGTCTACAATTTTTCTCCCTTCCACACCAGCACACGAAAATCAAGACCTTCTAACACCACCTCAAAGAAGATAAATCCACTTACTCGCGATGCACGTATCTCTGTGGCAATTCTCTGGGTCTCCAGCCGAAGAGCACCCGAACATATGTTGATAGGTTCCTGCAAACCTGGGCCACGAAGGGGGTGTTGGGCCACTTCACGCCACATGAAGATGAGCTCACAGCTCCCTTCGTCGATATGGATACAAGGGCAGCAGATTTGATGGCGCCAGTCGTGGGCGCCCTGCCGAGCGAGGTAGCCGTTATGGACACGTTAACGACGAACCTGCATCTGCTCATGGCGAGCTTCTATCGTCCAACGGCGGAGAAATATAAGATTATCTTGGAGGGGAAGGCGTTTCCTAGCGACCATGTAGGCAAAGAAAGAAAGAAAGAAAGAAAGGCGGGGATTGGAGGGAATTTGAAAATACAATCCATTTACTTAGCAATGATATTCGTTAAAAGTCTAACTAACCTTTCTCTGGCAGTTCGCCGTTGAATCCCAAATCCGACACCACAACCTGGATCCCAACGATGCTATGATCCTCATTGAGCCAGAGGACCCCTGCAATCCACTGCTCTCCACTGAAAAGATCATCTCTGTCATCAATGCCCATGCTGCAAGCACTGCCCTAATCCTTCTACCAGCCATCCAGTATTACACCGGTCAATACTTCGACGTCGCAAAATCACCGCCCACGCACACTCGAAGAACATTGCCATTGGCTGGGACTGCGCGCATGCTGCCGGCAACGTCGAGCTGAAATTGCATGACTGGAATGTCGATTTTGCTGCATGGTGCACCTACAAGTACTTGAATTCCGGCCCCGGTGCGATGGGCGCTCTGTTCGTACATGAACGACATGGAATCGTGGATACAAATACTTCGCTAGGGGGCCCGGGTTACAGGCCGCGCTTATCGGGATGGTGGGGAGGGGACAAGGACACCAGGTTCGAGATGGATAACAGTACGATAAATCTCTCCAACCCTTTGCACCTTTTCCACCCCCTTCCCATTGAACTTCTCGCCCCCAAACCCCAGGCCCCCTAAACAAGAATAAGAAACAAGGCCAAGTACACTAAACAAACATCAAATCAAATAATAGGATTCAAACCCCGCACCGGCGCGGCAGGCTTCCAGCTCTCCAACCCCTCCGCCCTCGACCTCTCCGCCGTACTCGCCTCTCTCGAGATATTCTCCGCAGCCACCATGCCCGCCGTACGACAGAAATCCATACAGCTAACCGCCTACTTGGAGCATCTCCTGCTAAAGGCCTGTCCGCAGCAGGAATCAGGTCCCAAGCTTTTCTCCATAATCACTCCCTCCAACCCAATGTGGCGAGGCGCGCAGCTCAGCGTCCTGCTACGTGGGGATATATTAGACGGTGTCTTTTCACGGCTGCTGGATAGTGGGATTGTGGTGGATGAGCGCAAGCCGAATGTGATTCGTGTGGCGCCGGCACCGCTATATAATACCTTTGTGGATGTGTGGAACTTCGTGCAGATATTTGTGAAGGCATGCGAGGAGACAGAGAGGCAGGCTGCTGAGCAGGGGAAGTAGGTATAAAGATTATAAATGAGATTTTGTAATGAAAGGTGGATGGGAAGGTAGATACATGGATCGATATATATATATATATATTAAGCCTGGCTATGTATAGACCAAAACTGGAAAGTAAGATCACAAAGGTGAATTATACTCGTAAGGGAGGGCTGGAAGAAAAGCCGTACTATGAAGCGTGATACACTGTTGAAAATAAAAAATGAAAATGAAAAGAAAATGCTTGTCCCTGCTTTACATACCGTATAATCCAATATTGATGAGAGGTATCGCGTTCGCCACCAGGTGAAATGGGACTAAAGTCCAAAAACCGCAGGGTATCCAAGTGCAAGCCCGATGCCTGTCCCCATCCAATCCAAAATGGTCTTTCCTGCTTGTATCTCCACAGCTTTCCATCCAGTTTCAAATGAGAAGTAACTCTCCCGTCGCGGCTCCACCAGCAACACCAGGCTGATATGCCTGCTGCTGGTTCTGATTAACCACATACTGGGTCTGTGGTGCACCGCCCCCTCCAACGCCGTTGTTGAGGTTCAAAGCCGCCATCTGCTGGGTTCCGGTAGTAGCGAAATATTCATCCGCAGCACTAACAGCAGCGGCGAGGCCACCTTTGCCAGAGGTAGTGGATGTAGCAGCGTCGGACGTGATATTACGACTCTGTTGGAACGACAAAGAGAGATCTCCAGCATGGTCTGGTGGCGGTCTTTGCAACGCGGGACTTGGAGTTAGACGCTTGGGTCTCGCGCTGCGGAAGACGTGTTGGACAGGCTTCAGGTAGACAGTTGCGAGGGTTCCGACGTTTAGACAGAGTTCTTCGAGGGAGGCAGGGTTCAGCTTTTCGCTCTCTGCGGTTATAGGGGGTTTTTCGCCCATTACAATGTTTCGTGCAGCGTTGGGGTCCGTGGAAAGGAGTCTCCAGTACATATAACCTCGATCACGGAGGTCTGGGTCATCGGTTTCTTCAGTACACCATTTAAGGACCTGTGGGACAAGTTGTTGGCCTTTTGTTGGGCGTTGGATAAAGAGTTTCACCGTAGCGGTGAGAAGGGCGAGCTGCACCTCGACTGTTTCGTCATGGAAGGTTGCGAGATAATCTTGGAGAAACCCGTCTGAGTTTTCGATACGGTCAGCATATTGGCCAATGATCCAGATAACTGCGGCTTTGGCCTCGGGTTCGTCCAGCTCGTCGATATTCTGGATAATAGTGCCGATGATCCCCTCATATTGATTTGGGTATTTTCGAAATATATTTTTGATCACTACTGTGGCCTCCTGAACGATGTAGGGGATTTTTGCATTGACCAAATCGATCAGCGTTTCAATACATTGCCTCGCAGCGGATTCGATCTTGATTGCTAATTTACCAATCGCGCGAACAGCTTTGCGAACGAAATGGACGTCGATCTCAGTAGCATATCTAATTAGAGTCAATCATGTAAATCAACTATCAGCTACCAAGGTTAGAACCGGGAATCGCTTACTCTCTCAACTCTGTCAATACAACAGAAATATTTTCTTTGGTTGCTAGCATAAATATCAACTCTAGTTTCGTCACTTTGACATAAATAGGGTCATTGTATTTGCAAAAGAACACACGGATATCGTTCCGCAACACTTCGGGTCGCCTCTGCAATATCAAGATGGCATTTCGCAGTGCGAGGTACTGAACCTCTGGGCCCTTGGATAGTAGGGTGACTAAGGGTGGAGAAAGCTTTCGTGAGAGTGAGGTGATCTGTTTTTCGTCGGATATATAGTTCGTCAAATAAAGGATGACGCGAATAGCGGTCAAAACAACGGCTGCATTAGAATGCGACAGACGAGGCGCGATTCTCTCGGCCAAGAGAAGCGCCTCTGCTGATTCCTGCGGGACGTAAGCCATTAATGCTTCTAAAATGTAGGTTTGGCCCCATCTGAAGTTGTTAGCGCTCGTGTATAAAAAATCTCCTATCTCCGGTTGATAAAATGCACATACTCGGAACAATCTGGGAGGATGGAAACTATTTTGGATGCACTTTTATAATCGATCGTAAGATGAATAGACTCGCTGCGTTCCCACAGGTCAGTCAATGCAGCCAAAGCACTCGATACGACAGTCGGGTTATCGTCCTTGAGCATTTCATTCAATCGAAGGATCAAGTCGGATTTCTCCACGAGTCGCGGGCTATGATCGTAGAGCTTTGCAACACAAAAGGCAGCTGCCTTCCTGACATACGGGTCGTCGTCTTTCAATAGGTATTTGAGAGGCTGGACTGCCGCTTCTACAAATTTGGGGACGTGAATATAAGATATCGTCCGCAAGGCAAGAGCCCGCACGAGGGGATTCGAATCTTCCATATCCTGCCAGCTGCTGTTAGTCTCCAGCCCTAACAAACGTACAACTCTCTTTCTCAGATTCCATACATTGATCAAAATTGGCAAGGCGTCGAGAGCCACTTCTGGTCTCGATTTGGCATAGTTGACGAGAAACAAAAAGCACCTGTTTCCAGCTTATCAGCTCCATATATCAACACCAAATAGGTCAAACCCCAGCCTCCAAGTTTTGTAATCTGCCTTACATTTTCTTAATTTCCAAGCTCGGAATATTCATACAGGCAATCACGTCTGGGAACAGCGCAACCATATCGTTATTGCTCATGGTCATATTAGCGACGATCTTCTTCAGCGCAATCTTCTTCGCAGAGTGGTTTCGATCCTTCTTGCCACCGCTGTTAAGTTCCTGGCGGAGCTCCGCAACTTTGCCCTGCGAACGATAGGTAGAGTGTGAGCCTGAGGACACAAATAGAGGGGTGAAGACGACCATTTGGAAAAGAAAGGTGAAATGAATCCCAGAAATCGAGTTTCTAAGGAACTATCACAATAGGGGAAGGAACTAGGTGTGGGCGACAATGCTTATGGGTATGATCCACACTGGCCGACAAACGGCAATGATAGCGCATTCAACAAGCAGTACAAGGAATCCCTGAATCGGCTCGCGATAGCGGTCCGTCGAAACAGATCTTGACCGATTCATATGTGGTGGGCAATAGAGATGCACAGAGGGGGCCAGATAAGCGAGCAGAGGGCAAAAGGGACATACCCTCGCGAACAGCTTCGCATCTCCCCCGCCGGAACTCATCTTGACTTAGTTAATCTTCAAAGCCTGCTAACGGTCTCATCCGTCAAAGCAGGGTGACTTCCGGGGAAATAACGCGATCACATGGAACGTCTTCTGTTGGTGGAAATCTGCAGGGTGGTGATCAGGGTGCCCATTTCTCAGCCATGATCGTAGAAGCAGCCAATTCGAAAGAGGAAGGTGTATATAAGTTAGAATAAAGGACGGCGAGGTTGAGGGGATGGCTGAAGAGTGGTTGAGGTTGGTCGGGAGGTTAGAGGTTGTTGTCAGGAGGCGGGAGGTTGACTTGGGAGAAATGAATCAACGAGAGAGCCTTTCAGCTTCGACCTCTCACCTTCCAATTATCTAATAGCTACATAATAACTGCGACTCCCAAAACCGAACCAGCGCGCCGTCCTGCCAGTAACTGATTCCTTCAGTTAAAATACCGGAAGACATTTGAATTTTTATCCAAAAATGGCTCCTGTAGCCAATCCGCCACCTCCGCCGCGATGGGCCGTAGAAATGAACACCGCAGCACCTCCTCGACCTTCGAAAACAGCCAATATCCCCGATCCACCAGGCTATTCCGCCAACAAACTCAGCACGAAATCCGTATGCCTCTCATATTCTGTTCCTTTTTAACCCACAATATAGAACTCAGGAACTGATCCCTCTTCCCTCCCAGCAACGCGCCTCCCCACAGCAGCAATCAGCCTCTACAACCAGCGCCGCAGCTCTCCGAAAAGCCGCCGAAACCGATGCCCTGAAGCTGAAAAAGGCCTGGGAACTCGCATTGGCGCCCACAAAGCAACTGCCCATGAACGCAATCATGATGTACATGTCCGGCAACAGCTTGCAAATCTTCAGCATCATGATGGTGTTTATGCTGTTCAAGGGTCCCATCCAGGGTTTGCTGAACACGAACAGCGCATTTGCGAAGTTTGAGGCGGAGAGCACAAAGGGCCAGATGCTGGGGGTCAAGGTAGTGTATGTCTTGATGCAGTGTGTGTTGCTGGCGCTGGGGGTTTGGAAGGTTAATGCGATGGGATTATTGCCGTGAGTATCCCTCTCTCTATTCTACGATATATATTTCCTTTACCTGCTCTGCTTTGCGGCTTGGTATGGCTTGGACGTTAATTTGTATGCGCATTTAGGACGACAAGATCAGACTGGTTAGCCTGGGAAACAGAGCGCCAGCCGCTGGAGCGAGCGTATTTTGCTTTTCAATGAGGTTGGGGTCTTGTATGTACAGTATATGTATGGTTGGATATGATTACAAATTAACTAAATAACGATTATCTTGTTCATGTATTCTCCTATTATATATATCAATCATGTTCTGATCGTTACGCCTTGGAATATATTGCTCTCGCTCACTCCTGTTCCAATTCTTCACGATTTCGTACAAATGAGTCCGCCAGACATTATATATACGTTAATCCATGGTTTTCCAAGTCGACTCTCAATTCCCTGGAACTCGGGTCATACCTATTTGATGTACTCCACGCTCCTCAGCCTGCTGATTGCGCCTCAGCGTTAAGGCGTTTCTGTTCCCTCCGCTTCGGTCCAGAGCGTATACCAACGAGCATAGCAGGGGAAGTGGCCGCGATGATAAAACCAATAAGGGTATAACACCACCCAACACCCATACCACTGATCATTGGAGATATAACTGCCGTGGCACCGGCACTAACTAAACAACGGACCAAATTATTTGAAGCTGTCACCGTAGCAACCTTACCTGGATGCAAGTCCACGAGGAGTGTACTTACAGTATTGACAGTACCTGTAATTGTGGCCCCGGATATGAATAGAAGCACCAGCGGCGCTGCAATCGAGACGCGGAAATGTAACACCCATCCAAAAGCAACAATGGCGCACACGCTCACGAACATCAGCGGAAACATGGTCTGCAGCCGTGCGCGTTCGACAGGGAAATGACGGAGGTCCTGCTGCCTGTTGCGTACGATGGGGACGCCGAGTTCCCTGGCGATGCGGCTGTAGTTGTAGTCGAGGAGGAAGCCATTGGCAATGGAGCCTATGCACGCCCCCATGCCGAAGGGGATATAACAAAGACCGATCTGGAAGTCGTTGTACCCGTAGATGTCGTGGAAGAGGGAAGTGACGGAGACGTTGATATCGTAGAAGGCGCCAATCATTATGGCGTTCGTTAGAAGAATGATTAGGGTGTCTTTCTCACGCAGGATGACGAGGGACTTGATGGGATTGGGGAAGCGGAGCTTTGGCCTTCTGGGAGCGTCTGTCGGTGCTTGAAAGGTAACACTGGAGTCTTCGGTTCTGCGGACCGATTTACGGGCCAAGTGCGTAATGACGGAGATATTCCATTTCTGAGGAGGGTGTGAGCCATCCCCCACGATATGCCTCCCGGTTTCTGGGAAAAATATTACGAACGATACAAGAAAGGCAGCGCTGAATACGGCCAGGGACCAGAAATTAGCTCTCCAGCCCAGATGCTGTGTCAGCACACCGCCTACCACAGGGCCAATAGCCAGGCCCAGCAAGGCGCCAGCGGTGATCCAGCCTATATATGTTCCTCTTTGGTCCGAAGTTGCTACATCTGCAACAACTCCTGTAGCAAGGACGATTGTCGGACTGCTTCCCACTGCTTGCACGCAACGATGTATAAACAATGCAAGGTAATTGGTTTGTAATGCCAAGCCGACACATGCGGCGACGGATATGACAAAACAGAGTAGTATGGCCGGTCGTCGACCAGCTGTATCAGCGAAATCTCCCATAAACATGGGTGCTATGGCTTGGAATATCTGTAATAATCAAATTGGGGAAAGTGAGCATACGGAAATTAGTGGTATCTGCCCAGATTGATTGTAAAACAAAGGTCTCCATCCACATTGGGGGGTAGAGGAGGATTCGAGTGTGGTTGGAACATGTCGCCACCTACAAGATACGATGTAAAAGTCAAATTCATAAGAGAAATAGACACTGAGAGTTCTCTGACAAGAGTATTTAGGGCTGGGAGATAAATAGTTGTCGAAACCGGTGAAAAAAACGCTGCCAATGTTATTGAGACTGCTATATAGCTTCTCTGGGCGGGCGTGAATATAGAATACACCCGCGATGAGGATTCCGGATCAGGTGAACCAGCAGGCCGCTGAATATCCTGCTCTGCGACCTCCTCAGGTTCACAAGAAGGCCCCTTCTCAGAATTTGAGGTAGGGGCGGGATTGTCCGGCGTCTCAGCATCAACGACATTTCCTTCTATCTCTGGGGAAACAGGGGCGTCCTCATCATTCAAACGAGTTTCCTTAGACATCAAAACGAGCAGGATATCAGTTGCCTCAAGATAAGAAAAAAAAGATGATGCTGATTTGGGGGTTTCTCGAAATACGTATGTCAAGAATAGGACGGTCCCCTTCTCTTCGCGCTGTATCAGAAAGCATTTGACTCTTGAGAAAACGCATCAAGCATTGAATATCGAGCCATCTGGCATGGCCACCTTCTAACCCCCACATCGCAGTGGCCTCGGTCAAGGGAGTGGCACTCCTCAAGCTCCATGGTGCTTCATAAATGCAATTACCAAGGTAAGGTTGAACCTAGCCACTTTGCACAGTACGATTGAACAGTGCAACCAATGTGGTCCTCAAGTTAGCAGCTAACGAGCTACTCACCAAGTAAGTTAGTAGTTATGATTGATAAGAAAATTTCGCCCGAGCCCGTCTCGATAAGTTATGATTATCTATCTCCGGCTGCTCAGCTTTTTTTCAATCCGCGACGTGGTAGGTAGGGCAAGAGCCGTTCAACTCCGTACAAGTCCATATAGTGACAGCTATATGTCGCTGTCCAGGTCTATCCGGACGAAAATGCCTGCTGTTTGGTGGGATTTCACATGTAACAGCATATAACCTGCCAAGAATGCTGATTTAGCTTCAAGTTCCATATAATATGGTTTGATGGTGTATTTTCCAAAGAAATTGACGGATGTAAATCTTATTATTCCGTAGATTAAATACAGTCACAGAATGAGTTGCAAAAAGTTCCGACTTGATACAGAGTATTCATCAACTATCTTTATATCAAAAATCATTAGTATCATATTCAAGTAACAGTAAGAATATAACCCAGAAGACAATATAACAGTATAATACCTAATACACCTTGCAGTGATAGAAGTTATCGATTGAAAAATTCTTACTATTTTATCTAATATATAATGCATTAAACGGAGCGAAGCGGAGTTTGATAAAAATCGATTTTGATATTACAGTGGGCAAATTTTTAGTTCAATTAGAGTTTGGAGTTTTCAATGCATTTGTTCAATTATCACGAGTTCCGCCACAGTGGAGAACTGATCTCCAATGCTAGGCTGCAATTGGATATCCCCTATTCTCGCCCCTGAAAATTACTCGCTGCCTTCCTAACTACCTACCTGCCCATCTACCTACCTATTTATCGACCCACCTATTTGAATGATATCTACGATGATATCTAGCGAGGCTCCGTTTTACAAATGCAATTTCTTTCAGGGGGTTTCCCCCTGGATATAATATATATATATATTACTTAAATATCATCATCAAATCCAACTACTGTAGATGTAAATTCATTGTTTTAAAATGTACTTAGAGATTTCAAGATTCATTTGTGGAAGGTGTAAAGCTTGCTTGATTGAAGGATTGCTAGCTCCGTGGCAAGTTATATGGTGGAAGGATTACTAAGCCAGGGCAGTTGACCTGACATCATTGCTTCCTAGTATATAATAATTCAGAGTGTGAGCTATTGAAATGCGGCAGAGATGTTTCATTATTCTCTAAACACAATATTTAAATAAATATTTATATAGTCAATATTTTTTTTTTTTTAAATGGAAAGCTCAGGCACAACACTCTATAGCAGGAGCTTCATGGAACATGTAGCCGGAGCAGGACGGAGCAATACGCTTAGAAAAGCTATACTCTTAGATATTATATATATCATCAATATATTTATTTGCTAGATATATTATCACTAGATAGCATCAATATACATCATCACTTGATATCATAATTGATATATCATTGGCAGATGTCATCGCTAGATATCATCGATAGATAGGTGATGTTTATTCTCATAGGGATTGATTGGATATCATGCAGGTAGGTTGGTAGGTAGGTAGGAAGTAGGCAGGTAATTCAGGGGTAAGAATAGAGAGTTATCTAAATCAATCTTCTCTACGGAGTACGGAGTACACCCGATAAAAATCATTGAGGTTCAAACCACATAGTTGCACACATTGACATCCAATGATCTCAGCCAACAAAATGAAGCAACTTTTGACCCCGTCAAACTTCGTTTGATTCTTAGAGACTTCGCTTCGCTCAGTTTGATAATATCCCCTATATCCGATCCTTTGATCCGACAACTTAAAACCTGCTAGAAGAAATATAAGATAGTCCTCCTTTATATTTCTAAAGGAAATATTGTGAACCTTTATAAAAAAAGTTGTGTGGGGGAAATATTATCAAATGCAGAGTCAATGGGTAGTATATACCTGTTTTGTTGTAACGGCAATAATATATAGGCGAGGGACATATCCAACAGGTCCTACGTCAAGTGCTAGATCGAGCAGGAACCCGACAGAGAACACCAGGGCGGAACGCCAATGAAAGGGAAAAAAAAAGCAAGTGAATATATATATGTCAACGAAGTGAAAACAAGAAAAGAGAGCAATAACGAAGCCAACGCAAATTTGAAATGTGAAATATCAATCAGGCTCATGTGAATAATCACTAGATGGGGGAGATAAAGCTTGAAAGAGAGAGAGAAAAGAATGGAAATTGATATTGACAAGAAAAGTAGACCAAACCGAAGCGAGGAGAAAGAGAGGCGGTTACCTAAAACTTGCATTTGTAGCCCTCAGCTCGGCCCTCATCAACATGCGTACGACGATAGGTGATAACGATATACCATTCTCGGCTACGCTCAAAGACAATATACGTATATATATATAAAAGCAACGCCCAAATAAATCAAACATAGCTCATCTAGGAACGTACTTTCATGCAATAATGGGGGGTGTTGTGGTGGTCTGACAACACATAAAAGAACAAAAATAAGTTAAGTCATATGCACATGTCAAGATAAAAATAAAAGAATAGATATGGAATATGGAATATGGGAAGAAGGGGGGGAGAATTCATCATGGAACAATAAACAAAAATAAAAACCTTATTTCCTTCCCCTCCGGCTTCCGATGGTAAGGTCTCTCACCACACCCCATTTGGGCCCGTGTACAGCAGCTCCTCGTACTCAGTGCAAACCATCCCACCCCACCCAACTCCGTGGCATAACCCTCCAAACTCGACACTCCCCACTCTTCAAATCGCCCAGCTTAAAACTTTCAATTTTAACCTTCTTACTCTCCCTCCCCTGCTCCCACGCCCGAATCTTCTTCTTCGTACCATCCCAATCAACAACAATACCCACATGGTCCGGTTTTCCCACGTCAGCACTGTACTTCTGATGCATCGTCCCGCGATGGCCCTGGAACCGCGCGTTGCGGAACGAGACAATGTCGCCCGCGCGGATCTCATCGACCTGCTGCACAGAGGCGTTGGCGAGATTGGCGTAGACGAGGGAGCCGTAGGCGCGGGTGCCGATCGGCGGTAGCGCGTCGGAGAGAGGGTTTAGGAGAGACAATATGAGGCCGTGCGGTGTGCCGTCGCCAACTATGCTGTTTTGCTTCGCGGTGACTGCCTCGGAGATGCGGGTTCCGAATTGCTCGTGGGCGCTTTCGAGCTGATCTTGGCGTAGGCGCTGGGGAGGGGGTTCATGGCGTTGCTCGAGGATGGCGTCGACAGGGTTTTTGGAGTTGAATTGTACGGTTACGATAGTCTGTGAGTAATCCATGAAAAGTATGTACACTGATTTGGAGACAGTAGTGTCGCCGCCACGGTTGGTCGGAGACGACTGTTCCATTTCGAAAAGTAAGTCGCGCCGTTTTTGGAAGACAGGCGGCGGTACGTGAGGTTGTGTCCACCAGAGCGAGCTGGCACCCAAGTCTACGTCATTTGCGATATATCCTTGGTCTGCAGAGGGCCGGGGAAGGTCCATTGATCTGCGAGCGCTAGGTGGGGATCTGAGTGCATCCATGGACTGTCGGGGTGGGTTCCACGATGGGGGAGGCCCAGGAGCAGCCCTCTCAGTAGCGAGTGGCTGTTGTTGTGGTGGTGGTGGTGGCCGAGAGAGAGAGGCTGAATATAAATCGTCATCGTCGTCCTCAGCGGGCGGATTCTGCATTGGGAGGTTTAAATCGACTCGCGGGGCAGTAGGAGGCAAGCCAGGGGGTCCACTAGGACGTACGGGTGGGCGAGCACTATATCGGAATGGGTCGTAGTCCTCCCCATCATCCGCCTCATTTCCAGTTTGATCCTTAATGGGAGGCATTGGTGGAGGAGGGCCTCTAGGCATGTCTGTTGATCTTCGCGCATGTTTCGGTGGCTGAGTTGGCGGTGGAGGAGGAACTGCACGAGGAGCGCTAGTGGGTGGAAGCGGAGGAGGCCGCATCTCCTGCGGGCTCCTAGGAGACCGAGCAGAGAAATCATCGGTTGCGATATCTTCATCGAAGCTTGAATCGCGCCCATGAGCCTTCAGCGCATCTTTGTGTTTGGCTCCAGACGCAATGTCCGTGTCATAATCTCCATCATACTCAGTAACTTCCTCCTCGCTGTCAATGCCTCCTGATTTGGCAGTTGGAGTGGAGACACTCATTCTGCTGTCAACAGTAGACTTGCGGCCTGGCATGGGCGGCGGAGGCGGCGGAGGGCGAGTGTGACCGGGGGAAGGCAAAGGCGGATTGGTAAGGGGTATTGGCGGTGGGCCACGGCTGACACGTTTTTCAGAACGCAGAGTTGATGATTTTAAACCTCCGGATGGCTCAAGACTGAACGATGGTCGGGGGGACTCTGGGATACCATTTCTGTCTGAAGGGTCAAAGGCATCTGAAGCCATATGTCCGGCGCCTTGAGGGGCAGAGAGTTCGTCATCAGATTCGCTACCGAGACTAGGCGAAGCAATAGGTCTTGATTGCACTGTGGACGGTCGAGTTTCGAAAACATTTATTAGTATTAGGGAAACAAGTAATATATATATATATATATATATATAGAAGAACAACTTACCATCTGTTGGAACCGGGGAAGGAGGCTCCATCGGAATTGGCGGTGGAATAGGCCTTGTAGTATTTGAAGGTTGTCCGGGCGTGGGCCGGTCTGCATCAAAAATTAGGTAATCATCCAGATATCAATCAATGTCTAAAATGGGAAGCATATTGTCTAAGTACCTTGAAGTGGAAGAGATGCCACCCTCTCTAAGGAGGCTGGAGGGACTTCAGCAAGGTGTTTGGGGACGTCTTCAACAGGTGGCTCCGTAGATCTCCGAAGGGGAGTTGACTGGACCTCCTGTTCTTCCTCCTCTCGTACTTCTGAACTTGGCTCGGCGGTCTTCTTGGAATGCATTCCCGGCAAACCCATCAGAGGCACGGGAGGAGCATGCATTGAAGAAGGATGATGTTGGTCTTCAGAAGCCTTCTTCTCGGAATCTGCCGCGGTTGTTTTCGGCTTTCGAAATCCGCCAGCTGGCGGCAGTCCTCCAGGAGGGCCAAACATTCCCATCATGCCCATACCTCCACTCATTTTAGCCATACGTTCTCGAATCTCCATACGCCGTCGAATCTCCGGGTCTATTTCATCCTCCTCTTCATCCACCCCTTCATCCTCACCCTCCCCCTCCCCCTCACCGTCTGGAGCCTGTTTGGAATGTGACGTATGCTTCTTACTCGATTCTCGATGTTTTTCGTCCATGTCCTCTCTTCCCGTAGACGCTTCATCGGCCTCTTCGGTATCTCCAGCACCAGAATTATCCGCATCGTTAGTATCACTGGTGAGCTCCCTGGAGGGTTGCGTAGGAGAGCGCGTTCTGTCCGGTGATTGGGGTGCCTCATGGGTGGAAGACGTAACATGGGAATCCTTGGCCGTTTCCGAAGTTTCAGTCCTTTCTAACTCCGCTCCATGGACAAAGCCAGCTTGTTCCGTCCTTTCCTGAGACTCCACTCGCTTTTTTGGAGGTTTCTTGGGCTTCTCCTTTTTCTGAGCAGCTTCTGCATGGCGTGCCGCCTGCTCAAGTTGTTGCTTTTGTAGCAGTGCAATCCTCTCTTTTAGACTTGTAGGCTTTGGCTGGTCTTCTGTCCCATCAGGTGTATCTGCAGATATAATGGGCCGCTCCGATGGGGGCTTATCATGGCTGTTACGCTCCACAATATCCGGGTCTTCTTCTCTTCTATATATCTTCTGTGGCTGCTCCATAGGCGGTGGCACATAAGCGTTTCTGCTCGGAGGAGGAGCAATGAACGGCTTCTTGATAAAAGAGGCGGATGAAGGTGGCTTATTCGGGTCGAATGGGGTAATAGGAGCAGCTGCAGGCTTATTAAATGCGGCGATACGGTCTCTAAATGAGGAACCCGTAGGTTTTTCCGCTACTGTGGGAGGCGGACCCTTCGACGCTGACTTTTGCACTGGTTGTGGAACCTCAGCGGGCTCTGGCGAACGTGGAGCAACCGGCGTAATAGAAGTGGCTTGGGCAGCTGTCACCGGTTGTGGCCCTGGAGGTAGCGGAGATTCCGCTGCTGCCTTTGGAATTTGTGCTTCTTCAAATTCTGGTTCAGCTCGTTCATTTTGGATCCTAGGGGATGTTGGTGCAGGGGCAGTAGCGAGAGTGGATTCCGTGGGAGGAGCGGTAGCAGCAACGGGAAGTTCTGGTTCTTTTCTGGGCCTCGACGGCCTTGTAGGTCGAGGCGGTGCGGGAGGTTCATATCTTTCCACAAAATTCCGGGGGAAAATGCCTTCCTTCTTGGAACCCGACCCATCCACGTATTCCCCGAAATACCAGTCATCATCCTCCTCCGCGGTTACCTTGATGATCTGGTCGACTGAAAAATTAAGATCATCCTCGTGCTCGGATGTGTATTCAAACACCGCCTTGACCGTGAACGGAACCCCGGACATTTGGTTGGACACTGTATTCACCTCGCGAAAAAAGGCACTGAATTGGAATCGAAAAAGGAAAAAGAATAAATAGAAAGGAATGTGAGGAGCGCGGGGCGTAGTTTCGGTTTCTCGCTGGACAAAGCAATTAAGGGGTTAGCGGGGCCGATGACTTCAGCTGTTCCCTTTTTTGAACCCAAGGCTGCAGATGGCAACAAGAACATCAACAAAGCACCAAAATAAGTTTCCGCAGAGGATGAATTATTTGATTAAGGATTCTTCGTTGCGCAGGATATGCTTAGGGGCTGAAACAGTAGAACTTCATGAAGCCTAAACCACGTCAGCAGCGAAGACAAGGTTGGCTGGCAGCTAAAATATCATCTCTAAACAAGAGTACTTAATCGGGGTCAAGACAAGCGGGGGGGGAAGAAGGACGCTCACCAGCAGAGTTGAGAGACGGAACTGAAAGTTTACGGCATTAGAGAGGTTTATTACGCCAAAAACATTTAAGATTAGAGGAGAAAGGAACGTAGGAATGCAGGTGGTATCTGGCGGGACAGCGGGAGTGTCGACAGCCCACTTTGTGTACTTTACATTGATGAAGGGAACGAGTGGCGGCGCGGTTTGTAAGCTGTGGCTGGTGCGCGTCGTTTAGTTGACGGCGCCCACGCCACTTTCCACCACCGACGTACATCGTAGATGCCCCAAGACGAGCAGATCGACCCCTCTGGCGATGTCTGTTTCTGTTCCTGCTTGATTGCTGGTTTTCAATGCTGACATCTCTGCCTATAGCTACTGGAACAACAGTGAGACCTCCACAGCTATTCCCCAGGGAAACTTGAATGGTGTATGGTATCCAACTAGCTGCTCGCAGCATGGTTGTGTTGGATTCCTGTCCTATTCTGACGGGCAGAAAAAATTGCTCCTGTTGATATTGATACCTACACCTCGTCGTATCGACCCATCAAGAGGCTAACTGGTCGAGGAAGAGAGGGAAGAGGAAGCAAAAAAAGGAGTAAAATTAAGCCCACATTCCCGCAACTGATTGATCCGCTTCTGTCTCCTACCAGCATATACAGGACAATATGTCCAACAATCTCGCGCCTCAAGAGTCCTCCAACGCGAAATCATCCCTCCCCTCAATCCACGCCTCTCTCGCTAAAGAAGCCTCGCTGTCCGCAAACACAAATCCCTCTCCCACAGCAACAGCAACAACCACAACAACCACCTCTACCAGGTGGAAAGCCGTAACTAAACACCGCAAACCAGCTCCGGACCCTCGTCATCTAGCTATAGCCCTCCACCACGCTCGTCAAATCCAAGCCCGCAAAGACACTGAGGCTATCATCCTCTCCCGCATCGAAGAGCTCCTCTCCTTTCCCAGTTCCCCAATTGCCTTAGCATCTTCCCCGCTCCCCGAAGACGTCAAAGCTTTCAAAGAAGCCCTCATCCCTTTCCAGCCGTCCGACTATGACAATCTCATCTTAGAGCGGAACATTGACGGCCGCTGTGGCTACGCGCTTTGTGCTAATGAACATCGGAAGGAAGATCCCCGGGCGAGGTTCAGGGTTTTGTGGGGGAAGAAGGGAAGCGGGCCTGGCGGCCGCGGAAAGGAGATGAAGGTTGTCCCGAAGGAGCAGATTGAGAAGTGGTGTTCAGACGAGTGTGCGGAGCGGGCTATGTATATTCGTGTACAGTTGATTCAGCAACCGGCATGGGAGAGGACACCTGCCGCGCTGGGACAGGCACCGACGGAGCAGATTTTGCTGTTGGAGGAAGGACGGGCGAGGCGGGAGAAGAATACAACGAAGGGGAAGGAGAGTGAACAAGGGAAAAGGGAGGTTATGCAGGAAGATCAGGTAGAGATGGCGAATGATGTCGAAGAGGCTATGCGCCTGCTGGTGATTAGTGATAAGAGTCTAGCACCCGAGGCGATTATGGATGGAATGGGTCGGTTGGCGGTCCATGATGATGATGAACCTGGTCAGGGTGTGCTGGCTATGGAAAGGGGAGATGGAACTCCGCATCACCGCGGGCTGGATGCTGGGCGGGTTGGTGTGAATATTTTTGAGAAACAACATTCTCCGCATCTGGAAGCTGCAGTTGCCATGGTTCAACCTCCGTCCTCCCGCGCGGAAGATTTAAATGGTGGCTCGATCGAAGGCTTTAAGCCAACGAGACAACTTGGTAACGCGAGGCGGGATGCGCCAAATGACGATGATAACGAAGATGATGATATCCTCCCTACAATTTAAGACGTGCCATATCGTGTTTCGCATTGAGTCGGGCATTTTGAGGGGACACTATTCTAGAGCCCACTATCAAGGGATGTTACAAGAGAGAGTGAAAGGAGGTGAAAGGAGGTCAAGGAGGCCTTGTGTTTGAATAAGGATAGCGTCTACATCAACCATTTTTGAGTCTAGTATGTGTCAATCGATGTATCAATTGATCACAGACCTACCTTTTTCGTCAATTCGAACAACTTCATGCCTCAGAGGCTGAAGCAATAGTCAGGCTACAGTAGCACACGGCGTTATCCCACCAACCTGCTGACAGACGTTGGGGAAACGTCGGAAGAGAAAACGGAAGAACAAATATTGGCAATCAAGCGTCATCCGTGAAGAATCAGCGACACCTTGTCTTGAGAATAGATATACTTTATATTGCTTTTCTGGTTTTGTCGTGCGTTAACATGCAATATGAGAATTCGTAGGAAAAAAGAAAAAAAAGACTTATGGGATAGATCCATTGACGGGAGTGAATCACCACGTCGCATTTCCCACCTTTTTTCAATCCGTGCGGTCCTCGACTAAATATAGAAATAAAACGAGGGAGAAAAACGCCTTTCATTCCGTAATTGCATGCCATCTTTAGATTAAAACCATTATTAACAAACAATTCTTTCCATTTAAACGGGGAGAATTTAACGGGCACCGCCAAAACGGCGAGGGCGGCTATCGGTCGTCTGCTGGCTGACTGGGACAACGTTGACTTTGAGGGTATCGAACTAAATGAAACCAGAAAAATAGAAGTTAGAAAATAGTGCGCAAAAGTTTGCACCGTCTTTTGAAAAACTTACACCAAGGCTCTTGAGCAGGTCCTTGGTGTCGGCATCGACATCCAGCTGTCCGCTCTCGGACTGCGAAACGTCCAAAGCAGAGATCTCGGGGACGTATTGATCCTTGCGCTCACGCTCCTCTTCCTGAAGCTTGAAGGAAATGCCACGGACGGGGCCACGCTGGATACGCTTCATCAAGTGGGTGGTATAACCGGCGATCTACGCAAAGTAAAGGTTTAGAATTCCAACCGTTATCAGTTCATTGTGTGATAGCTTGGCGTAGCACACCTTGTTTCGAAGACGCTTGGAGGCAATGATAGCGATTTCATCGCAGATGCGCTTGTTGGTCTCGAAATCGAGAGTGAGCTTAGGATAGTAACGCTCGATGATGACCTTAGCGGACTTCTTGACGGTCTATTGAGGTCGCAGTTAGCGACTGAACGATTCCCTTAATTGTAAAAGTAGGGAATTGGATCTCTCAGCTATCCTTTCTTACCTTAGTGCGGACGCGACCCATTTTTGCGGTTGTTGATGTGTTGGTTGGGGTTCGAAAGTTGTGGGCGGGACGAGGAGAGGAAAAGAAAGCAGCTGGAATTCTTGATGTTGGTTTAAAAGGTTGTGTGCCCTATATCACGTGACCGAAAAGAAATGTTTTTAAAGCTAAACACTACTTATAAAACTATATTCTGTATATTGTACACCTATATGTAGAAAGAAAAGAAAAAATAAACTCCATTGCAAAGAAATCTACAGAAGGTTCTGAGAAATATGTTTAGGAATGATGCGAAAATAAAAGAACAACTTAACCTTTCGTTGTATTGTACAGTTCAGAGGTTATATCTCAGATAGAACTCGACTTCGACTCTTTCGACTCTTTGAGGATGTTTAGTATGTCTTGCGGGCTGCTGCCTATGGTTTCTCCCGCCGTACCCCGATTCACAGACCTTTTCGGGACTAACTCCTCGAACGTCCTTTGAGTGCCACGTACGTAGTCCGGTAGCGGCTCTGCTTTCAGGGAGACCGCCATGAAGCGCTTTAACAGTATCTGATGTTCGATCAATTGCAAGAAAGATTTTGCCTTCTGAGGTCACCGAGGCACGCACGGGATGAACCCAGTACTTAGCTCCTCCAGGGACATCAGGGTCAAAATCGGTGATCCCCCCAGGGCCATTGTGCTCCTTAAAAGCATGACTATTGACGTCTTCTGTGACTATACCTCCTACTCCAACTACAGCTTTGTAAGCATTTCCTCTGTGTCGGCGTTTTGGTCGAAGAATACGTGCCGGAACGGGTCGGGGATGCTTTTGTGGCCCAACAACGGGGTGGTTGACTATGTGAGCGCCCGTGCGAAGATAGGACAAGCCTGCGGAAGGATGAGTCTGAGGTGGCCCCCGGCGGCCATACTCGGCAGATGAAGCTTCGGAGGGTGCTGAACTCCAACTGCTAAGATGGATGCGGTGGCTAGGTGTCTGAGGAGGCGGAGGTAGGTCCAAAAATTTGGAAATTATAGGTCCCAAAGCTGTAGGATCGGCTCTCAAAGTTCTTAGCGCGGCCTGGAACTCCTCCTCACTGATACTTGAGGGACTTTGTAAACCGTCAAGATTTTCCCCTCCCTCCCGGGCTTTGCGTCTCGCATCGGCTAATTTCCCCTCCGCAACGAGCTGTCGAAGGGTCTTCATAAATTCTGGCTTTCGGCGGCGGACGGATGTTAGATACCGATTGAATTCAATATCTGTTTGACCAGCTAGCCACGGTCCGCCAAATCTGAATCTCTTAGAATTAGGGGATGCGGCGTTGGGAGTTTGATGTGTATTATCGATTCTAGATTCGAAAACGCTCTCATGATTTCCCCCACCAACCTGTATCGCAATTCCGTTGTTCTTGGGTAGAGATATTGGCAGCGAAAGTTCCTGCCATTTCGTTAGGGTCTTGACATGGTCTCCAGCAGATTCGAAATCGGTGATATGCTCGAATGTGTCGAGAGCATTGATGCGAACAACGGGCGTCGATGAACTCTGTATCGTGGACTTTGCTGGTAGGGGTCGCTTGAGGCCCCAATCGCCCCTTGCTAGAGAAGAATCTGGGGTAACGATTGCAGCGCGGATAGGATAAGGAATGGTAGCTGTATCGGATTCGGTGATTTGGCTGGAGGATGCAGTTTGGGTTGGAGGGGATAGGGTTGGGGGAAGCGCAAATAGTCGAGATTTGCGAAACAAATTCGCAGTTGGAGACAGCCTGACTGCCATTGTTGCCTCAGCGCTTTTTTAATCCGCTGACGGTTGGAGTGTCATCAAGAAGACTGGAATTGAAGATGGTATTTGAGGTGAGGATTTTCGTACGGTTGGTCTAATAAACCGCTAACGCACAATTATAGTATCTTTAGAGGTTTGAGCACCCTTCTCAAACACATAAAAGCAGGTCCAAGAATCGTGGAATTTATGTCTGTGATAATATTTCACAAAGCTGTACCCTAAAGATTGGCTTAATATAATATATGCTTGTATGAGAGGGACTGGATTTCTGATGCTAGTATCATTCACATCGGAAAATGGAGCAAGCCCTTGCCCTCAGTCACGGGATTTTAGCCTCATCGCTGGATATCGGTCAACACGCAACGACAACTCTCTCACACCCCAAAACTAACAGGGACTTCTTCACCTATGGAAGCACCAGTAAACTTTGATGTATATCCTCGTATAACTAGCTTGCACATGAGGCAAATGCCACATGCTAGTCCTCGAAATTAGTTGCCCATCATGGCGCAGGCAGCTTCAGGGACAGACGCGGCCCAGCGCATTTTCCACGAACTGAAATCCAAGAACGAAGAAACCCGCTCCCGCGCATCATACGAACTCCACGATAATGTCATCGCTGTCTCTAGAGGTTCTACTCCCATCTCTACCCTTTAAACTGCGATCTTATTGACCTGAGGTGGGAGATTTGCTGACGATTCATGCGGTTTGCATCGTATATAGAGCTGCCACCGGATAAGTTCATCGAATATTACAATGCGGTCTCTCAGCGTATCGCCCAACTTGTTGTTACCGGAAATGATGCAAATGAGAAAATTGGCGGGCTTCTTGCTCTCGATAGGTTGATCGACTTTGATGGCGTCGATGCTGCTCAAAAGACCACCCGTTTCGCCAGCTACTTACGAAGTGCACTACGGAGCAACGATAACACAGTCTTAATATATGCAGCGCGCTCACTCGGTCGTCTGGCCAAACCTGGTGGTGCTTTGACTGCGGAGTTAGTGGAAAGCGAAATTCAGTCCGCATTGGAATGGCTACAGTCCGAAAGACAAGAAAATAGGCGGTTTGCTGCGGTCCTAGTCATCCGGGAGCTTGCAAAAGGTTCACCGACTCTTCTCTACGGCTTCGTCCCACAGATATTCGAGCTTATCTGGGTGGCATTGAGAGATCCAAAAGTTCTCATTCGTGAGACCTCTGCCGAAGCCGTTAGCGAGTGTTTTGAAATATTAGCAGCGAGGGATGTCCAGGTCCGTCAACAATGGTTTGGTCGAATTTACGAGGAGACTTTGCAGGGCCTAAGGTCCAGTAATGTTGACTGGATTTATGGCTCGCTTCTCACCTTGAAAGAACTCCTCTTGAAAGGTGCTATGTTCATGAATGAGCATTATCGAAATGCCTGTGAAATAGTCCTACGCCTCAAAGACCACCGTGATCCGAAGATTCGAACACAGGTCGTCCTTACCATCCCCATTCTAGCGTCATATGCGCCTCTGGAATTTACAAATGTATACCTACATAGATTCATGATATATTTACAAGCACAATTAAAGCGGGATAAGGAGCGAAATGCTGCTTTCATTGCCATCGGAAAAATCGCGAATGCCGTGGGTAATTCTATCGGGCAGTTTCTTGATGGGATTATTGTGTATATCCGGGAAGGGTTAACAATGAAAGCGTAAGCTACAACAAACTAGCTGATCTTTGTATTGGCACTCAGCTAATATTCCCTCTAGTCGTAACCGTGCAGCAGTCAATGAAGGTCCGATGTTCGAGTGCATCAGCATGTTATCACTGGCTGTCGGACAAACGCTTAGCAAATACATGGAGGCCTTACTTGACCCAATTTTCGCATGCGGATTAAGCGAGTCTCTTACGCAGGCCTTGGTAGATATGGCGCACTATATACCTCCAATCAAGGCAACAATTCAAGAAAAATTACTTGACATGCTAAGCATAGTCCTGTCGGGCTCTCCATTCCGGCCTCTTGGCTGCCCGGAAAACCGCCCACCTCCAATGCCTTCATTTGCGAAGGACTATGGAGCTTTTCTGCAGGAGCCAACCGACAGTGAAATTGCCCTTGCATTGCACACGCTTGGCAGCTTTGACTTCTCTGGTGAGTTTCAGCGACGACTGTGAACCCCTCAAATTTTTTCAACTTCGAACCTAACTTTTATAGGGCATATTTTGAACGAATTTGTTCGTGACGTTGCTATTAATTTCGTCCATAGGGACAATCCGGAAATCCGGAAAGCGTCTGCGTTAACGTGTTGTCAACTTTTTGTCCACGACCCTATCATTAATCAGACTAGTAGTCACTCGATCCAAGTTGTTAGTGAAGTCATAGATACTCTCCTCTCTGTTGGAGTGGGAGATCCAGATCCAGAAATTCGTCGAATCGTCCTAGAGTCGTTAGATCAGAAATTCGACCGTCATATAGCCAAACCTGAAAATGTTCGATGCCTGTTCCTCGCAGTGAATGACGAAGTATTTTCGGTTCGGGAAGCTGCAATCAGTATTATTGGACGTCTTTCCAGTGTTAATCCGGCATACGTTTTTCCTCCATTAAGGAAATTGTTGGTGAATTTGTTGACTGGACTCAGCTTTGCTACCACATCTCGCCAGAAGGAGGAAAGCGCGCAACTAATCAGCTTGTTTGTTGCGAATGCTACGAAACTCGTCCGATCCTATGTTGACCCCATGGTGAAAGCTTTATTTCCGAAAACAACTGATCCAAATGCTGGAGTTGCATCGACAACTTTGAAAGCCATTGGTGAACTTGCGACAGTCGGTGGTGAGGATATGAAGCAATATTTGCCGCAGCTCATGCCCATTATCCTGGAAGCACTTCAGGATTTATCATCCCAATCTAAGCGAGAAGCAGCATTACGAACACTAGGCCAACTTGCAAGTAATGCTGGTTATGTCATCGAGCCTTATATTGAATATCCAAATCTCCTCGCTGTCCTGATTAACATTATAAAAACCGAACAAACTGGATCTCTGAGAAAGGAGACTATAAAGTTGCTTGGTATCCTCGGCGCTTTGGATCCATACAAACACCAGCAAATAATTGAATCCTCGCCCGATATCCATCACGTAAATGAAGTCCAAACGGTATCGGACGTTTCCCTTATCATGCAAGGCCTCACCCCCTCTAACGATGAGTATTATCCCACTGTCGTTATTAACACCCTCCTTCAAAATATCCTCAACGAAAGTTCTCTCTCCCAATACCACTCTGCTGTTATCGATGCCATTGTTACCATATTCAAAACCTTGGGGTTGAAATGCGTGCCATTCTTAGGGCAAATTATACCTTCTTTCCTCTCCGTTATTCGAAGTACTCCCACCAGTCGGCTTGAATCTTATTTCAACCAATTAGCAATCATAGTGACCATTGTCAGACAACACATCCGAACCTTTTTGCCAGAAATCATTGAGGTCATCCGTGAATTCTGGGATTGCTCTTACCAAGTCCAAGCCACAATATTATCTCTTGTCGAGGCAATTGCAAAGTCCTTGGAAGGAGAATTCAAGAAATACTTGGCAGGCCTGATCCCGCTTATGCTTGACACCTTAGAGAAGGATAATACACCAAGACGGCAGCCATCAGAAAGAATTTTACACACCTTTTTGATATTTGGGCCGAGCGGGGAGGAATATATGCATCTAATCGTTCCGGCCATTGTTCGTTTATTTGACAAAAATCAAGGTCCTCCGGGAATTCGAAAATCCGCTATTGAGACCTTGGGAAAGCTTTCCCGACAGGTCAACGTGTCCGATTTCGCTTCTCTTATGATACATCCACTGTCAAGGGTGATTGCCGGTGGTGACCGTACCCTACGGCAAACCGCCCTGGATTGTATCTGCACGCTTATATTCCAGCTAGGGCAGGACTTCAACAACTACATCCAGCTCATGAACAAAATTATTCAAACCCATCAAATAAATCATCACAACTACCAAGTTCTTGTTTCAAAATTACAGAAGGGGGATCCACTCCCTCAAGATCTAAACCCTGACGAGCACTATGGAGCGCTTGGTGATGATGCTACGTTCGCCGATGTCGGTCAAAAGAAAATCCTAGTTAATCAGCAACATCTGAAGAATGCATGGGATGCATCTCAAAAATCGACTCGGGAGGACTGGCAAGAATGGATTCGAAGATTTAGTGTTGAGCTCCTGAAGGAATCCCCATCCCACGCTCTTCGGGCTTGTGCTAGTTTAGCTGGAATTTACCAGCCTCTTGCGAAGGATCTTTTTAATGCTGCATTCGTTTCTTAGCTGGAATGAAACTCTATGGCCAGTACCCAGGAAGAACTTGTTCGCTCTATAGACATGGCGCTTACATCCCAGAATATTCCCCCCCGATATCCTACAGATCCTTCTTAATCTTGCAGAATTCATGGAACATGACGACAAGGCATTGCATATCGACATCCGAACCCTCGGCAAGTATGCCGGAAAATGCCACGCCTTCGCCAAAGCTCTTCATTATAAGGAATTGGAATTCGAACAGGATCAAAATTCAGGCGCAGTTGAGGCATTAATCAGCATTAATAATCAACTTCAACAATCAGATGCTGCGATTGGTATTCTTCGTAAAGCTCAGGCGTACAGAGATGTTGAGCTCAAGGAAACGTGGTTCGTCAAGCTACAACGTTGGGAGGAGGCGCTGGCTGCGTATAAGAGGCGCGAGCTTATCGACCCAGATTCATTCGATGTTACAATGGGAAAGATGCGTTGTCTGCATGCACTCGGTGAATGGAAAATGCTTTCTGATCTCGCTCAGGAAAAGTGGAACCAAGCCTCCAATGAACATCGAAAGGCCATGGCGCCTCTTGCTGCGGGCGCGGCCTGGGGCCGTGGCCAATGGGAGCTTATGGACTCATATATCGGAGTAATGAAAGAACAAACTCCTGACCGGTCATTTTTTGGTGCGATTCTGGCTATACATCGCAATCAATTCGACGAAGCGGCGATGTTCATTGAAAAAGCACGAAATGGCCTGGATACTGAACTTTCGGCATTGCTGGGAGAATCTTATAACCGTGCCTATAACGTCGTTGTTCGTGTTCAAATGCTTGCAGAACTCGAAGAAATAATCACATATAAGCAGAACGCTAGTGATCCTGAGAAACAGGAGGCAATGAAAGAAACATGGAATAAACGACTCCTTGGTTGCCAGCAAAACGTCGAGGTATGGCAACGCATGCTCAAAGTAAGAGCCTTAGTCGTATGTCCTCGTGAGAATTTGGATATGTGGATCAAATTTGCGAATTTATGCCGCAAGTCAAATCGCATGGGTCTGGCAGATCGTTCTCTAAGCGCCTTAGAAAGTTGTAAGGGATCAGACCAACCGACGCCACCAGAGGTTATATACGCTCGACTCAAGTATGACTGGACTGCTGGACGCCAAAAAGAGGCACTGCAGATGTTACGGGAATTCACTATTGGGTTGACTGAAGAATTCTCGCGATATAGCTCTGTTCTCATCGCTCATGGTGAGCATGCTTCTTCAGACAGGCCCGGCCTTGTCAATGGCATTACCGACCATCCTGACCTGGCCACTGCACGTCAACATATCGGTGAAATGGGTAAATTTCGACGACTACTGGCAAAAAGCTATTTGAAGCAAGGTGAATGGCAAACAGCACTTCAAAAAGGAGATTGGACTTCAGAAGGAGTACGAGATGTCTTGAATTCGTATTCAGCAGCTACACAATATAATCTTGACTCCTACAAAGCGTGGCACGCCTGGGCATTGACAAATTTTGAGGTTGTAAACGCATTGAGCGCTCAAACAAATCGGGAAACCTTCGTTCCCCATCACATGGTTCTTGAACATGTCATTCCTGCTATTCGAGGTTTTTTCCGCTCTATTTCCTTGTCGTCGACAAGTTCACTGCAAGACACTTTGAGGCTTCTCACCCTTTGGTTCAACCATGGTGGCGATGCCGAAGTAAGCGGTGTGGTCACTGAAGGATTCTCTTCAGTTAGCGTCGATACATGGCTAGAGGTCACACCTCAGCTCATCGCACGTATCAATCAGCCGAATGCACGGGTAAGGGGATCTGTCCATAGATTACTTGCGGAAGTTGGAAAAGCCCACCCACAGGCCCTGGTTTATCCTCTGACTGTAGCAACGAAATCTAACGTTGTGAGACGGTCTCAATCTGCTACGCATATTATGGATAGTATGAGGCAACATAGCCCCAGGCTTGTTGAACAAGCGGAAATTGTCAGTCACGAGTTGATTCGTGTCGCTGTCTTATGGCACGAGCTTTGGCATGAAGGTTTAGAGGAAGCTTCTCGATTGTACTTTGGAGATCATAATGTCGAAGGGATGTTTGCGACATTGGCACCTTTACATGATATGCTTGATAAGGGTGCCGAAACGCTTAGGGAAGTTTCCTTTGCTCAGGCATTTGGCCGTGACCTTGCAGAGGCCAAGCATTTTTGCATTCTTTACCGCGAATCAGGAGTTATAGGTGATCTCAACCAGGCCTGGGATCTATACTACACTGTCTTCCGGAAAATTGCTCGTCAGCTCCCTCAGCTGTCTACTCTAGACCTGAAATACGTCTCCCCTAAACTTAAGGACGCCGTTGACCTTGAGTTGGCTGTTCCTGGCACGTACCAGAGCGGTAAGCCTGTGATTAGAATCATGAGCTTCGATCCAGTGTCCACCGTGATGCAGACCAAGAAACGACCCCGCAAAATGACATTGAAAGGTAGCGACGGAAATTCATATATGTACGTCCTCAAGGGCCACGAGGACATCCGGCAAGATGAGCGTGTCATGCAACTTTTCGGACTTGTAAATACCCTCCTTGATCATGACAGTGAAAGCTTCAAGCGCCATCTCACAATTCAACGCTTCCCCGCTATTCCACTATCGCAGAACTCTGGCTTAATTGGGTGGGTTTGCAACACTGACACATTGCACGCTCTGATCAAAGAATACCGTGAAAGCCGACGGATTCTAGTTAATATAGAGCATCGTATTATGCTACAAATGGCCCCAGATTATGACAACTTAACGCTTATGCAAAAGGTTGAAGTATTTGGATATGCCATGGACAACACGACTGGGAAAGATCTATACCGAGTCCTTTGGCTCAAAAGCAAGAGTTCTGAATCTTGGCTTGAGAGACGAACGAACTATACCAGGTCGCTTGGAGTTATGTCCATGGTTGGATATATTCTCGGCTTGGGCGACCGTCACCCGTCAAATCTTTTACTCGATCGCATTACCGGCAAAATCGTGCATATTGATTTCGGCGACTGCTTCGAAATTGCGATGCATCGTGAAAAATATCCTGAACGTGTTCCATTCCGTCTTACCCGAATGCTCACCTTTGCTATGGAGGTTAGCAATATCGAGGGTAGTTATCACATCACCTGTGAGGCTGTAATGCGAGTCATCCGAGAAAACAAGGAGTCTTTGATGGCCGTATTGGAAGCGGTAAGTATCATGCTCGCACCTCTGCAACTCTTATCAAGCAGCCTCAATTACTAACTCCCATCCGTAGTTCATCCACGATCCCCTCATAAACTGGCGCCTAGGCGCTCGGGAATCACCCGCTCGACCATCCTTCCCCACGGACCGCCGCCAAGCTATCGCCGACGAAATAAGCGTCGAACATCCTGTGCAACCCAGCAATTTCTCCAGACGACGCCCATCGATTCTTGAAGGAGGCATCCTTGACGCGCAGCAGGGCGTGCCCAATGAAGCACGGGAAGTGCAGAATGCACGAGCTCTCCAGGTTCTTTCGCGAGTGAAGGAGAAGCTAACGGGACGCGATTTCAAATCGACAGAGGAGCTGAATGTTTCCGACCAGGTGGATAAGTTGTTAGTCCAAGCTACGAGTGTGGAAAATCTTTGCCAACATTACATTGGGTGGTGTAGCTTTTGGTGATTTTGTCTTTTTTCTTATTTTTCCTCTATGCGGATTAACGCACAAGGTACGTGCCTACGGGGTGCGGGCTACGCTTGCAGAATTTTTTCTGTTCCCTCTCTGTTTTTTTTAAATTTCATTATTTGTTGTAACGCAGCATGTTTGAATGTTTGCATTTTCTTTTTTTCTCATAAATTTGCTGTGATCTATCATTTATTTGCCTGAATTCGATATTTCATCAAGTCGACTCCGACGGTTTTACTGTATTTAGCTTGACAATGATACCCCTTTTTCCAAGATTGACCAAGCAACGATGATGATCAAATGTTGCACCGTCCGTAATGACGTCATCTCCAACCCTGCAAAACAACTTTATTGTAGAGAGATTATTCCACAACCACCCCGGTATTTTGATTCTCCGGTTAGCGAAGCATGCTTCATATCAAACTCAGAAGCTGCGTAATCCATTATATGCCCATATATGCCTAACGAGAGTGATAGAATGCAATTATTATGATGTATGAGGAATAGTTGAGGATGTGGTGTTCCCTGAAGGGGGTTCCCTTTGCAGTTAAAGGTGGGAACAATTTTCCAAAACTTCAATACATGGCACTAGGAAGGAATAAATTAAATGAAAAGCGTATACTAAGAAAAAAATTACAATATATATATATATATATTTATACTGGTAACTCACGTAAATATGCAATGATACAACGGACCTTCCTCATCCATAATACATGCAATTTAATCCGCAGCAGCAGCAGCCGGCGCCTTCTTCCCCTTCTTCTTCACACCAGCCGTCTCGACCAGGTCCACAAACCCATCACCCCGCAACCACGCAAAAATCTTCCTCAAACCCGCTCCATCAACCGCACCGGGATTCTTCTCCAACAGCACCCCAATAAGCGCCCACGATGCAACAAAGACGAATAGATCACCTCCCTTCCCGCCGCGCCATACTCCGCGCTTCGTCCCAACTTTCCAAGCAGAGTCAACCGCAATACGGAAGAAATAGAGGAACATGGACCGATTACCATTGCCAGCGAAGGCAAATGGTAACCCAGCCAGTGCTCCACTGAGGTAAAAGCGCTGTGTGGGTAACAACGAACAAGGTAGGAAGGAGTTGAACAGGCACACACTGCCCCACGCTGTCCCTAAGGCTGTGGAAAGGATGGCGGTTCTGGAGAGGATTTTCATGCAGACACCGTTGATGGCAAGAATTGGTTGGTGGATGAAAGTTTTGAATTTCAAGAGGGAGAGGATTAAATATACCTTTGTGAGGAAGCGCGCGAGGAGGGGGATTGAGAGGAGGTATTGGTGGAGGGAGGCGGTTAGGCACGAGGGGGATTTAGAGTGGAGGAGTGCACAGGATAAAGAAGAGATTGAGGGGTGGGCGGAGGATGTTACGGCGGATATGGATTGCAGGGAATCCGGAAGGGTTTTTGGATTTGATGGGTGGAGGATTGGCGAGATGAAGGCACTGTTATAAGGGTACGATTTAGGTTAATAAAAAAAGGAACTTTTCAATTTGATGGGTATAGACGGGGGGACTCACGGCCATTTCAATTCGGAAATTTTAGCTAGAGAATCCACAGTTTCATATTGGTCTATCCAGTGGCGGTCCGAAGGGTAGCTCCCTGGTCGAGGGGGAATGTGGCCTGGAGTAAAATTGAGGATAAAGTCACCGAACCACTAAAACGAACAGTCAGCCTTCTTGTTTTCACCGATCAACATAAAGGGATATTGATATCTAGATTCCCGAGTATACCTTCGGCTCGGCCTCGCGATCAAAAACAAACGCGTGGAACAGTTGGGCCAAGGAAACCGGCATCAACAACCAACTTCCAAACCACCACGGCCGGTTCTTGAACCATCCATTGGCGTCCAATTCATTAAACAAAAATTCCAAGCTTCGGGTTGACATGTAAATAGCTAGCGTGAGGCGAAGTTGGCTTTGTGGGTAAGCACCCAGAGCAAAGCCTGCCAGGCTGGAACCAATCGCAGGCGCATATTTAGATGTCAAGGCTCGAGAGATTCGAGGATTACGTTCACGGAATGGGCGAGCACCATCCATTCGTAGGTTTGCGCGCAATCGGGAAAAAAAACGGCGCAAGAGGCGGTGCAAGAGGAGAGTCAGAGATAGGGCAGCTGACAGTCGAAGTGCTGGAGAATGGCGGAGGGTACCTTTCGTAGTTTTACTGTCGTTTTTTGGCAAAAGATCAGTTCACTTTCATCCTGCCAGTTCACAGTTGATTGTAGTAAGAGACCTACACGGCGTTTTGCGTCTTCCTCGATGCCAGCTTTTGTGATATATAAATGAAGAGTTTCATGCCAGCTCCGGTGGCCAGGAGGACACGGAGCGAAGCGCGGAGAGCAGCCTCATTGTATTTATTCTGAGATTTGACAACTTCTCTAAACGCGGCTGGCTCCAAGATCCGATCCTGAACGCCAGGAGGTAGCCACTTGATGAACTTCTCGTGTAGTGATTTGTACTCTGATGCGGAGAGCGATATGCGCAGAGCGTTACAGATGATGGGATGGGGGGGTTTCGGGGAGCTTGGAGGAGGCGAGGATTCAGGAGGAGAAGTCATCACTGGTATTATTGTGCCACTAGCTACGACTCTTCTGAGTGCAGACTGACTGACAGGGTTTGCAGCTGGGGTGATGAGAATTCCCAGGAGTCGCGGGCAGGTTACTTTCAAGATATCCAGGGTTGACGGCGATGGAGCAAAATAACCTTGGCGCATATAGCTAGATTTATTGCTAGTATCCAAACTAGCATGATGCACGAACAATGGCTACTAAGAAAGGAATGAAACAATAGATGATTTGATGTTGGTACATATTAAGAATTCTCAGATATTGCACACATTAATATTACTAGCAAGTTTCAATCCATTTCTCAGAGCCACTGCATACTAGTATCTTTGCTCTTGCTAGTCCGTAGTTACATACAGCCAAGCTACATGAAAAAAAAAAAAAAAAAAAAAACCATTTAGAGCGCGAATCCATCTTTCTGATCATCAAGAGAGCAATTCCCATTGTCGAAGACATCAATCTCAATGCAGAATTCCGCTCCGCTCTCCGCCAAGGACATCAAATTAGATTTCATACTAGGTAGCTCCGTTATTGGGGAGCCAAAGGAAACATAGTCTCAATGTTTAACTGTCAAAACCCCCGTACACTGATGCCACGTAACCCCACCTATTTACGCAGTGGTGCGCCCGCTAGATAGTTACAATCGACCAACCTTCCACCTACATCACATATTGCGCCGGACGTAATGCTTGCGAAAGCAAAACAGTACCAAGACTCGGGGAACATATAAAAGTTTAACCCAAGATTCCAATGTCAGGACTCCGCTTTTCGTCGTCTCTTTCGAATGTGTGGCCTACGTTATCAGCTCTAGCGCACCTTGCAGAATCAATAAGATATAACTACCACTTGCATTCTTGATTCAGGGTCCGGCAGTTCGAACATGATCCATTGCTTGTCGGTAAATCGCAACGAATCAAATGTTACCGTCCAGGCAAGGAATAACGGGGAACATGCCCATGCCTTTTTTGATGTGACAATGCGTACAAGCCTTGGGCCCCTGCCGTTCGCAAGGCGTGCCATGCAAGTCTCCATCATCTGTCATGGGGGTTACTGCTCAGTGTCTCTACTTCTCTGTTACTTCAGCGGTCATTGAAACAGCAGTTGAGTGAGAGCTAAATAATGTAGCTCTTGGTCTATGTGGGGTTGATTGAGTGGCGGGTCGTGTTTTATAATTTAAAATGCAAGGCCCCACGAGTTGGTTACCTGGGGATGTAATTGATTATTGATAGCTCGACAATTGATGTGAGTGTATATTAATATACAGGATTTATCTTCCAAAAATATTGATGTTTTGCAGGGGAAAAAAAGGCTTCCTCACTCAACTCATACTACTGATCACTGCTGTTTCTTCATTTACAAAGGAAGGTAAGCGTTTCATTTTGTGAATCATTAAACTTAATAACGACTGTTTTGTGAAAAATAACCATATATTCAAATGATCGTGGTTGAGCGTGTTACAAGCTAGATGTAAATATGTAATAAGGCTACAACATACACATCGCAATTTAGATGTATTTTACAGTCAATGATAGTTGAATAAAATATTCATGTGTTACTAACTAGTACATATAACTAGGACAGACGATGTATTATAGATTAATTTCAAGCAAAACGTAAATTTGCAAATTTGTATTGATAGTTAGTTATCTCTCAAGTGGTTGACGCTCTTTCATCGGAGAAGTTCACCCCTTCGCTGCTGCAGCTAGTGAAAAATTTTCGAGATGACTCACAGAACCCCAGACCACTCGTCAAATCAATCCTCGGGAATACGAGGATATATAAATATCGAGCTGGCAGGCAAGCCTCAAAATGTTCTCCGTTCTCCCCTCTCCAAACAAGTGAACAAAAACGAGGCCTGCGTTCCTGGAAGCTCCAAGTCCGACGACTACCTGCTCTCAGAATGGCGAATCCAACCAATGCAGAAGCCCTCACGGCCTGGGACTTGAATGCCAGCTTCTGGGACCAGCATATGGGCTACGAAGGCAACGATTATTACAGAATCGTGGAACTCCCTTCGCTTGAGCGCACGGCAGCCGTGAAACCCGGCGATAGGGCGTTGGACCTTGCGACAGGAAACGGGCTTGTCGCGCGCTGGCTAGCGTCGAAGGGTGCTCGTGTCATTGCAACAGATGGCAGCCAGGCCATGATCGATCATGCAAAACAAAGAAGCACAAATGCTAATGGAGAAAATGTCAACTCCATATCGTACCAAATCTTGGATGCCCCGAGCACACAGAGCTTCGAAAATTTCATCGCAAAGGAGACAGCGGAAGTAGGACTGGGTATTTTTCATGATATTGCCCCACGCACCGCCCATGCCTACAACCCTTCTCCCTCATCCGTCAACTGGAGGTAGTGAACTAATAGGAATTCTTCTCTACTTCTCTATATGGGATAGGAGGGCCCATTCGATATCGTCGTAATGAACATGGCCATCATGGATATCGCTACTCTTGAACCATTAGCAGCTGCTCTACCAAAACTACTGAAGCAAAATACTGGACGGTAGGTGATTATTTTTCCTAGGAGGCGACTATCTTTAAGCGAGGATGGAGTGATGCGTGGAGGTCCCTTCGAGATTGGTTTTTTTTTTTTTTTTTTTTTTTTTTTTTCTGGAGTGACTTGTATGTGACTCTGGCTTCTAGATTTGTTGCAACGCTCCTCCATCCCCTCATCACCGCTGGATCCACGCGCGTGCTCGAATACGGGGATAGCCGGGAAACAGGACGCGAGGAGGAGCATGTCAGCCTAAAGATAACCACATACCTCCATTCTCCCGCTCCGATGAAGGCGGAAGCGATCAAAGGCCAGCCTTTTTATCAGGTATATATTGCATGTTGCATGTTGTGTTATTTGACTTGACGGAATGAAAACCATATTATCATATGCTTCTATCATGCATGCATCCGTCTCATTTTCGCTAATCATCATACTCCGTTGAATTCTAAAAGTACACGTTCCACCGTCCCATACACGAGGTTTTATCCCCTTTTCTCCGTTCAGGATTAGTTCTGGACGCGTTCGAGGAACCGAATTTCGATCCGGAATACAACAATAGCAGGCAAATTGATCCAAGATCTCTGCGGTATGTCACCGAAATTCCCAAAATCCTCGCATTCAGGATGAGGACCATTGGCTACTGAACATTGACACCCGTGGCAACTGCCCTATGTACTTTTCCGCGCTGGACATCCTGCGACAAACGGAAATCAGAAGTCCAGTTAGTGAGTTAGTGAGCATGGGAAACAGTTCTGTTCAACTGATCCTCTTTTTGAGTTTTCTGTTGTTGGGTATTGTTTAGAGAGTGGACGAACACAGCGCGTTGCTCTCTGCGTATGCCTTGTTATTTTTATCTTTCAAAAATAAAAGCTAGCCTAAAACAAAACGGCGGCGCGTGAAGATCCATTAGCGGTTTGGTAAGACTTGTGGAGAAGTTTTTCTGTGTCTACCCAGTAAATAATCCCTGAAAATCGTCAACCAAACAGCCTCACCATATATCTTAATAAGTTCGGCTAAACTGGGTTCTAATAATAAATTTCATTCAACTCTCCAACTTCAACCTTGGGCAAGGGGGTAGTTATATCCTTGATAAAAATAACCATATATCTCACGGAGCGCTGGAATGTCCGGGACCTTGTCAGGTCTACGTTTAGGGAGCACTGAGGACTAGAAACTCAGGCGGCGGCGGTGGGAGAGCAAAAGAACTTGAACTTCATCCCCCATTGTAACTCACAGTCACACAAGCTCAAGGCCATGGCCATGGCAAAAATAGGTAGACCCTTTAACGGGTCGTTTCAACTACCGATCAAGCAAGCAAGCACGGTGGTCCTTGCTTGGTCCATGGATTTGCTGTTTTGGACTCTGTCATCGTTCACCGTCGTGAACCTGTGGCAGGGGCTGATGATATCAGATATGAGAGAAAGATAGGGATACTCAACTTTAAGCGATAGCAACAAAGATCAGTGAAATTTGAACAGTCCCGTAAGGTCTTAACCCATTCATACTCCGGGTTGTGCGGGAGGCGGAGCGGGCAGAGAGGTCAGAGAGGCCGGATGTAGGAGCTCATTCAATCTTGGTTTGGGGAGATGGAAAGGCAATAATAGTAAATACTATTCAATGATTTTTAGGTGAGCTGGTTCATTCGTCCAGTTTGCATCCATCCTCTGGCAACTTTGCAACAGGCAGCAAAATCAGGCTAATATTGTTGTTTGTTCTGTTACAGTCCTGGGAAGGACATCCATGGATAGTATCAACGGCGCGACATTGAAAGCATGTAGGAATGAGGGAAGTTGCTTTTTAGATTCAACCAGGCTATTCAATTCCTTGTACTCCAAAACACCCAAATCGTTGACCCCTTTTACGTCAATTATATGAACCACCCTAGTTCCTACAAAAGAACAAAAAGGGCGAAACCACAATATCTAAAGTTGCACTTAAATTGAGTGTAGTAACAACCATTCATAGGTCCCAAGCAACCGTTATCAAATGACAAGTACTATCTAACCATCCAAACTGAAAAGCCACCGCCCGCCCCGTCGCTGCCCCGGCAAAGACCGAGAGATAAGAATAAAATCCAAAGAATAAAATGACAGAAACTAGACAGCTTTGCTGGTAAGGGCTATCTTACTAGTATGTACCACAGAAGCTCCCCGATAGCAAGACAAGAACACTACCGAACGGATGAAGCGACGACAAAGATAGCCGGACCAAAAATAGGAAAGAAAAATAATAGAAAGAGAGAGAAGGCGAAATATGCGTACGGCTGACGTAGGGCTGTCTAACGAATAGGGAAACAGGAAGGGACTGGATTGGACTGTCTTTCTAATCCATTCTGTCTGGAATGTAATTGGATACGGGATAGGCATTTTGGGGGTGGAAAGAAAAGAGAAATATTTGTCAGATCCATAGTAACCTTTGAAGGTATTATCTCGGAAAACGGTACAATGCATAAAAACGCGAGCCACAGAAGCAGGGTATATTTTGCAGCTTTGTAGTTGTGGCACCACAACCTCACAGCCTGAGAATAAAACAATGAAGGGAAGAAGGTGACACCAAAGTAGAAAGCAAGGGTGTGACATATTAAGTACCGAAAGTTACATTGCCCTGTAGCTTCAAGAGATCTCTCCTTTTTTGGCTTGATCTCAATTACCTCAGGCGCGTCAAGCCCCACCCATGTTTTGCGAATTGATGGGCTGCTGTTCGGGATACCAACGATATCCAGAATCTCCTCTCGCCAACCGATTGGGTCGGTTGCTTGAATTGTCAGTTGAGAGTTGCTGCCAGAAGCGGTCTCATTCTTCTTTTTGACAGTCCGGACAGCCCGAATCCGACGCCGTTCGCGCTCAAATATAATGTCCTCCGCCATGCTCACAGTAAGGACTCCCTTAACTTTCATGGCATTAAAAAGTTTCCTCAATATTTTGAACGGAACGGCCAAGAATATCACTGACATGACCCGTTCCTCTCTCCTAAATTTGCAGCTGTTGGCATCAGCAAAACTACCAAATGTCAATGTGGATACCTCTCTGATATAGCGCATGGACGGCGTTTTCCCAGAAGAGAGCCTGTCAAGCAACTCTTGTGAGTGCGCGTCAGGATCAAGTTGAAAATTTCGAGGAAAATTTTCAATGATGAAGCCAATCGCCTCATCAAGGATCCGCGGCGCCCACACATCCTTCAACTCCCAATTAAGTGTGTAAGGACATCCATGGAGATTACGTCCGTTCACAAAATCGCTCTCCGCAATCCTTTCGCTGCTGTTGGGTAGAAATGTAGCTGGTTCACGATTCGCATGAAGGCAACTAACTGGCGAAATCATAAAATCCGAAAATGAAATCCCAAATTGAAAAATAACTTCCAAGTTATCCCAGGAGATCGCGTTTGTAGCAAGGCGGACTGCTCGACGAAGAATTTTACTCTCTGCCACGAAAGCAGCTGATGCAACGTAACATAGAGCAAATTTCATTTTTTCAACCCCATAACGCGTTTTAGAGCACTGGTCCTGATGTTCGCCATTGCTGTTGTCAACGGCTTGTGTGAGGTCATTGTCTAGCTGCTCCTCAACTAGCAATGGAAAACCATAGAAATGCTGCAGCGCCATACCGAGTGCGAAAGGATGAGAGAAAAAGGGTGCACCTTTTACGTGTATCTCCCTTGAGCATGTAACACCATGCATGCTTTTCACCAACTCCTTGAGATGCGGACTTCTTGAAGCAACCAACGAGTGAAGAGGAAAGGACATGGGTGGGAAATTTTCCGCAGAGGAATTCAGGATCAGTCGACAATCTGCATACTCCCCAGACCTAAACGCTTCGAGAATATAAGTCACAACTGGCTCCAATTCCCCGTCGAAATCGTGCCGGGGCTTGTAGATTTCACGAGAAATAATTGGTCCAGTACATAGCTGGGTCCCTTGCTGGCGTTCTTGCACAGAATTCAGTGAACTACTGTCACTTCGAATTTCTGTTTCTCTGTTTGAATATCCTTCTGCCTTTGATACCTTTTCACACTGTTGATATTGAGCAATGCTGCTTTCAATAGTCTGTGGGTTATTTTCCGTATTGAAAGGACTGACTGGTGCATATTGAGGGCACCCTACTGTTGGTCTATATTGCGGTACGGTTGGTGGGTTATGTGCATCGTTGGGGATCGGAAAACCGTGCATGTACGGCTGGTACATTCTATCACCGCTCTCAAATTTTGCTCCTGGGGGATGCATAAATTGGCTCGGATCCTCCCAAGCGGGAGGACGGCAATATTGAGACGCTTGATAGGATGGCGGGTTAGGAGGAGTTTGCCGTTGTAGTCCCTGATAGCCCGAACAGGTCTCCGATGGGAGGGAAGAGGTGGAATCAGAGTAGCCGCCAAAATAAATCCCGTGGCTCTGAATTACATAGGGATCAGGGGTTCTGGTTTGGAGCATCGATCTGGCCGGGACTCCCATTGAAATTCCGCCAACTGGCATGGAGATATTTTGAGAGCCGTGGCTGGTGGAGCTGTTGGAGTGGTAAGCATGATCTGAATGGTGCGACTCAAAGCTATCCATGTGAGACATATTCTCTGCAGTTCGAAGCACTGTTAGCAATCATAACAGAAACACACAGGCTCCAATCAGCATCCCAATAATGTTACAAACCCACCAATGTCCCCCGTGTATTGGCCGTTAAAGCTTCCCTCCCCAGTTTGGCAACGTCTTGACGATCGAAAAAGATGAGTGCTGTCGACAATAAAGGGCTCGTAATGGCATCCCTGGAACGATTCGCGACTGGGATCAATCAGATTGGTAGCAGCAAACTTCCCCTCTCTTGCATTAGCAGATGCTGCCAACTCTTCCATAGACTTCCTTTGTTCTTCTTCTGCTTGCTTCTTTGCCTTCTTTTTATTCCTATTCTTGCTGCTCTTGTATTGCTTTCTTCTCGAGGCTTGCTTCTTAACCGAACTCTCAGTATCCAATGTAGATTTGTTCTCATCCCCTGTCACCACGTCCGCGAGAGTTGGTTTGTGTGGCTCAGCGGCCATTCTAGAACCATGTATGGATGAGCGGGAAAGTTGTTGAGATGACTCCTTGACATCCGGCCCCATCCTTCATTCCATACTCCTTGGTAGGTTCAGAAACTAATAGCAGTAAACAAATAAGGCTCAAAGCGAGATCAAATAACACAACGAATAAACTATTCCACAAAGGGGTTAAACGCCAAACAAAATATGGTGTGTAAGTAGCTCACACAGCCTTCTGCTACGTTTCCTGAGCTGCGATAGCAAATCCAATATGATAAAGATAAAGAGAAACGGGTTCCTTGGAGAAAGAGGGAGAATGAAAGATAGAACGAAGTCTAGAGAGAGCATCTGTAGACCTGGTTGTTCTGAGTGAGCGTGAAGAAAATATAAATGTCACCTAAGGCAAAGGAAAAGAATAAAACAGTAGGACTAGTACCAGAGAGAGAGGAGAGATGTCCTACCGAAGGAGATAATGGTAGAGATTGAGGTGCGGTCCCACTGCCCGCAACAAGCTATATTGAGGTTTCCCAGGGGATTGCCCGATTGGGAGGCATATGTCAGGTAGTCCGGAGTTACAAATATTCCGCCATCATGATGTTGTTGAGAGATGGCTGACTTACTGAGGTGCGATTGAGGTATGATCCAATAGGGATAATAGGACGAGAATGAATCGTACGAGGAAATGTGCGGTGATTATATCCAACCGATATTACGCATGACGCTGTGCCCACAGTGGTTCAGGGGTAATGTACGAAAGCTGTAGCTGATAAATGTCGTCTGTCTCTCCAACCCTATCAAACCAGCCCAAGTCCTTTTCGTCCGCCACTTTACTTACCTTACTGAGCATCCTAGATGTTATCAATGAAAGGGGAAAGACTGAAAAAAGGGCATGGAAACGTGGGGAGCACAGGAAGTCGAAAAGGCGTGAGTGATTTCAGATAGATCGAGCGGTGAAACGCCGTGTCGTGAATACATCGTATACGCAAAACCAGGAGTGCAGTGGGTGATCGCTTTCCATTCATCTAACGCATGTCAAAGTGAGAGAGGAAACCGGGAAGATATCTCGGTGGGTTTGCTTCACCTGAATAAAACGGGCCCTATTTTTTCCGCGTCTCTCTTCTTCTCTTTCAAAATAGACAAGTCCTTGCATCTTATTATTGTCTTTCCCCTTTTTCGTTTTGGGTTTTGTAATTTCTTTTTATTTTGTTGGTATATCCATGGGTGCCCCTGCCAGGTGGG